TTCAGCTTCCCAGGTACTGTACACACTTGAGTTTGTCCTGAGCCAGTGCTGAGATTTTGATGAGGATCACACTGAATGTGTATGTAGATCCAGCTGCATCCACGCTGGTGGTTTTTTTTTTTTTTTTACTTGATCTTTTTTTGTGGTGCTGGAGCTGGAGCCCAGGCTCTTGCAGATGTTTGGCCAGTGCTCCACCCCGGAGCCCCACCCCCAGGCCCCAGGCTGTTGGAATTCTCACCCCTGATAATGTTTTTGAGCGCTCATATATCCACTTCTGCGTAGTTTTGCATTGCGTTTTATTACTGCACATTCCGCCGACATGACCCATCCCATGGGCCTTCCCAGTAAATCAACCTGCTAAGCCCCTAGACATTGCGCTGAAGACAGATATTTCCCCAGTCTTATTTTTTCAGAGTAATGACTGTATTTTTATAAAAATGATGCATTCTTAGTCTGAAGAACTGAAGCTTGAGTGATTTTATGAAAACCTCCACCCGGAAACAACCACTAAATGTTAGGTGAGCTACGTTCTTGGCATCTGGGGGTTTCTGGCTGCAAGGCCAGATAGAAACACTTTTATTAAAATGAGACCAATCATTCTACTTAAAAAATAAGCTGTAAGCCTAATGTGATGTGAATAACGGAGGAAAAGGGAACTTAAGCAGATGTTTCTTCCCCGTAGAGAGTATTAGTTCCTAAACAAAGCCAACATGTGAAGACTAAGAAACTAGAATTATTCTTAGTAAGGTTTCCATTTTATTTATTGAGATAAGGTCTCACTATGCAGTTCAGGCTGGCCTTGAACTCACTATGTAGCCCAGATTGGCCTCAAACTCTCAGTGATCCTCCTGCCTCAGCCTCCTGAGTGCTGGGATTACAGGCGTGTGCCAGCTTGGCTGTTTTTAAACTTTTGATTGGCTGGATCTCATCACTGAGAAAAGGTCAATAATGGCACACAATGCTATATTTTCCGTGTCTGAGAGTGCTCCTGTGGTCTTTATACTTGGCTGAGTAACACATTCATTCGTCTTAGTCACTTTCTTGTCACGGAGACCCAATACCCAACACCCACAATTAAAGGAAGAAAAGAGGGCCAGGGGTATAGCTCAGTGGCATAAGCGCCTGCCTGGCAAGCGCAAGGTCCTGAGTTCGATTCCCGGTACCAAAAATAAATAAATAAATGAAGGAAAGAGAACACGCAAACACACCTAGGTTCACAAACTGGATTCTCTCCATGATTCTGATCCCCAAATAAACTGGAAGAGAATCAAATCAAATATCCCCATCAGGTCAACATTGAACCTAACATTGAATTTGATCTGGTTCTTGTCCAGTTCAGTGTGTGACCAGAATTGTGGAAAGAATCAAGTTTGTGAACCAGGCTGGCCTTGAACTCATGATGTACTGTATTTCCCTGAAAATAAGACCAGGTCCTATATTAATTTTTTCTCCAAAAGATGCATTAGAGTTTACTCTCAGGGGCTGTGTTATTTTTTCACATATAGAACAATCTGCATTCATTCATTTGTTCACGTATGACAACCTACACCGATTCAAACACAGTCACGTCATCTTCTTCTGGAGCATCGCCCTAACTCCCCAAACCCTGAATCCCAGCAGACCGTTTCCGGTAGAACCACTGGCCCCAACCTCCCCTACCCCGCAGCAGAGCTGCCCTCCAATGAGCGCTTCCTGTCCGCGGAGCCGGTGTAGCGCATTGGCGACACAGCTGGCGGTGCCTCTGGGAATCTGTTTCGCCCTGGGCACTGCGCCTCCGTGGGATCATAATGCATTTGTCCTCCACTGTGGGCTCATTTCATTTGCTGTAATGTCTTCAAGATTCATCCTTGTGACGTGTGTCAAACTTTTCTTCCTTTTGAAGGGGGCATAATGCTGCACTGCTCCTAGAAACCCCGCTTTGTTGCCCTGTCCCCTCACTGACGGATGCGTGTTCCTCTCATCTTTCAACTGCTGTGAACATTGCCGCTCTGAAACGCAAGTGTGCGCTTGTCTGAGTCTCCGCCTTCGATTCTCTGGGGTGTACACACACCTAGAAGTAGAACTCCTGCATCCCATAGTTTCCTCTGTGTGATTCTTCGAGGAGCCGCCGCTCTGTCTTCTGCAGTGGCCGCACCACTTAATGTCTATGTCCACAATGCATGAGGGCTTCGGTACCATGTTCATGCCAGTACCCGGTATTTTTTGTTTCTGGTTTTGTTGTTGTTTAATAATAGTCATCCTTAGCCAGATATAGGAGTGTATACCTGTAATGCCAGCACTCTGGGAGGCTGAGGCAGGATGATTATAAATTGGTGTCAGCCTGGGCAACTTAATGATATAGTGGAACACTGTCTCAAAATAAAATGGATGGGGGATGCAGCTCAGTGCAAAGGCCTGAGTTTAGTGCCTCGTAACACACACACACATTCTAATGGGTCTGGAGTGGTGTCCCTTGTGCTGATTTGTGTTTCCCTGATAATGGTGACACTGAGCATCATTTCATGGGCCACTTTGCTTTTCTTCTTTGAAGAAATGTCTATTCAAGTCCGTTGCCCATTTTTAAATCAGGTTGTTTATTTTTTGTCGTGTTGAATAGTAAGAGTCCTTTATATATTCTACATTCCCTCCCCCCCTTTTTTTTTTTTGGTACCGGGAATCAAACCCAGGACCTTGAGTTTGCTAGACAGGTGCTTGTGCCACTGAGCTGTACTCCCAGCCCCATAGTCTACATTCCTTACCAAATATGGAAGTCGGTATTTTCTCTCATTCTGTGCATTGCCTTTTCACCTGGAGACACAAGGGTTTTTTACTTTAATGAAGCCCAGTTCATTGTTGTTGCTCTCTCTGCAGTTCCCTGAAATTGCCCCACTTTGTCTTCTAGGTGTAGCCTTTATGTTTAGGTCTTTGATTCATTTTAATGCAATTTTTGTTGTTGTCTTTTTGAGACAGGGTCTGGCTGTGCAGTTCAGGCTGGCCTTGAGCTCACTTTGTAGCCCAGGCTGGTCTCGAACTCACAACGATCCTCCTGCCTCAGCCTCCCAAATGCTGGAATTACAGGCGTGCGCCACCACGCCCATCTAATTTTTGTATATGGTAAGGGTCCCACTTCTTTTTTTTTTTTTTTCTGCACGTGGATGCCCTTTCCCCCCAGTCTCATCAAAAAAACTGCCCCTTCCTCCACTGAGTAGCCTTGGCACTCTGCCAAACATCCTTTGATCGCACACACATTTGTCTGGCTGCTCTGTGCTGTTCCCTTGGTCTAAATGTCAATGAGCACATCATTTGATTACTGTAATTTTCTCATTTTGCTGCTGTCTGTCTTTCAGTACTGGGGCTGGAACCCAGCGCTTTGCACTTGCTCTGGAACCAAGCCTGACCCTGAGACAGGGCTCGCTAAGCTGGCCAGGCCGGCCTCAAACTCAGTCTCCTGCCTCAGCCTCCTGAACAGCTGGGATTACTCCCAAGTACTAGAGTGCGGCACCATGCCCAGCTGTGGTTAAGTTTTGACATCGGAAAGTGAGAGACACCCAAATTTGTTCTTTTTCAAGATTATTTCAACTACTGGGGTCTCCCGAGGTGCTATGTGAGATTTCAGGATGTATTGTTCTGTTTCTGCACAAAATTTATCATTAGGGTTTTGGTAGGGATTGCAGGGAATCTATAAATTAGGTAATATTGGCGTCTTATAATAATATCATGCTTTCTAATCCTTGCTGCTGTGTCTTTCCATTGACTGGGGTCTTTTGATTGTTTTTAGCAACCTTTTGTAATTTTCAATATATATGCTTTTTGCCTCCACACTAAATTTATTCCTAAGAATTTTACTTTTTTTTAGAGAGGGTCTCATCATGTAGTTCAGACCCGCTTTGAACTCACTCTGTAGTCTAGGCTGGCCTCAAGCTCCTGGCCATCCTCCTGCCTCAGCTTCCAAGAATTTCACTCTTGTTGCTATTACAAATGGAAGTGTTTTCTTTTCTTTTCGGATTATTTGTTAGTGAAGAGAGAACTGGGTTTGGGCGTTGGTTTTGTGCCCTGCGCTGTTGTGAACCTATCAGTACTGACAGCTTGGTTTTGTTCCCCACCCTGGAATCCACGCTGCTTACTTTTGTCGTTCCCTGGAGGCCCGGCAGGGAGTGTGCTGAGCTCTCCCAAGGCCAGCTTCTACTTAGGCCCCGTTCACTGAGCTGCCGGCTGCAAGGGTCCCACCTGATCTCAGGAGCGCAGCTCCAGCCGCCTGCCTCCTGCGGCCGCGCTCGGTCCCTGTTCTCCAAGGTCATCATGGTGCACGTGCTTGTCTGCTGCCCCACTGCCGTCCGCACCCTCTCCTCAGACCCCCTCTTCCGTCAGCTCACTCACTTCCCCTCTCTGCTCATTTTTACTTTTTGTTTCTTTGAGACAGGGTTTCACTATGTCCTCCAGGTTGGCCCTGATGTGTCTAGCCCATGATGGCCTTGAACTTGTGGTGATCCTCCTGCCTCAGCCTCCCAGTGCTGGGATCACAGCTGTGGGCCACCATACCTGGCTTCTGCCCTCTTAATTTGAGTGGCAGACAGATTCTGAGGAGGGGCTCCTGGCACCGCATTTCTGGATGAGCATCTCAAGCAGTGCTTTCACCGAGCACGCAGAAGCCGAGGTGGGCTATGGCCAGCACGAAACACCGGGGTCCTCCTCCCCGGGGCACCGGAGCCAGCCGAGGCATGCACACAAGGCTCGCTGTGTACCATGGGTGCCAGGTGCCATGCTGGTCCCCAGGTGGGCAGTACCCCTCATTCGGCCCTCGCTCAGCCCTGCAAGCGGGTGCTGTGACCGTCACTGATTTGTGCGGGACACACAGCGAGGGGCAGACCCACCTTCCACCCCTGTGCCTTGTCTTCCTCCACCCTTCTAATCTCACCCGGTCCTCAGGCCAGGCTTCCTCTTCCTTCTCGGTCCCCAGCACCCAGTGGGTGTGACCTCAGGCTGCCCACCAAGCTGCGCAGATGTCCATGGGCTCACAGCTGGAGAAGGACCTCGGGACTCACACAGCGCTTGGCCCGAGCCCCCGCCACCGAGGGAAAGGAGGCTGCTGCCAAGGGCTGGGGGAGTGGACTCCTCTCTGGTCGGGACCCAAGGCACCGGCGCCACCGAGACATTGTGTGAGCTGGGCTGGGCCTCAGACACAGCCGGGGAGGTGCCGGCATGGGAAGGGCTTTAAATCCAGCTGCCGCCTAGGCGGGAGAGCGGAGAGGGCCGGCCACCATGCACAGCTCCTGTGGCCTCTGGGCGCTGCTGCTGCTGCTGCTCACCATGGGCCCCGCCACGGCCCTCAAGGAGGATGAGAGACAGCTGATGGTCCAGCTGCACAACCTCTACCGCGCCCAAGTGTCTCCGCCCGCCTCAGACATGCTGCAGATGGTAAGTTTGGTGGGTGCCTGCTGCGGTTCAGGGACTGCCACCTGCTGCCACACCCATGCCAGCCTCCCTGAGGTGCATCACTGTGAGACTCCCTGACATTGCATAGTAACATGCAGGTCCCCAAAACAGCCCCATTATACAGATGGGGAGACTGAGGCTCAGAGTGACACATGTGCCCTGCGAGGGCACAGCTCTATGAAGGGGTCTCTCAGAGGCCCTCTGAGAACAGGAGGCAAGGAAGGGGCAAGAGGAGGGATCTGGGCACCAGGACAGGAGGGAGGTACTTAGGAGGTGCCAGAGAGCATGACTGGAAGCAAAGGTTGCACCCCAAGTTCCAACTCTGCCTCTGTCATCAATGAGACCTGTGAGTCTGGGACAAGTGCTGTAACCTTGGCTACTCTCAGCTTCTCATCTGTGAAATGGGGACATGATCTGACCTAAGTGTGTATCCACATGGACTGAACCTCACAGGCCCTGTGGAGAGGGGACGGCGTCTCAGAAAGTAGAAAATGAACGCACCATTTGTCCACTGGTGAGAGGCACGGGCAGATGGTGAGGATGCATGTGCTTGTGCGTGTGGAGGACAGAAGCCACCTCTGCCGGGCAGGGAGGGCATCTGAGGACAGGGCTGGGCTAGGAGGTAAAGGGAGAGATGCACCCTTCCTGCCCTGCGGTCCAAACCCTCAGCTGGTCTGGGATGCGACTGGCCGAGTGGAGGAGCCCCTGAAGGTGGGGCCTGGGGGCAGAGACCTAAGCCTGGGTCTCAAGACCTCAGGCTGGTCTCTTAGAGACCCTGGGCCCCCTCTCCCCTCAGAGGCCTCCTGACCTGGTGCAAAGATGGGTGTGGTGATCCCTGCCCCAGAGCCAGACAGGATGGCTCCTGGGGCCCCTGTGAGTGTTGGCACATATCAAGTACTGCCACACTCTCGTTGGCCTGGGCGACCAGGGACTGCAGACACCAACCTGGGAGCCCTGGATGCTGGTGCCACCTCTGCCAACAGCTCCTTGACAGCTGGGGGTGTTGGGCCTCAGCTTCCCCATCTGCAGACCCTGATGCCCTAAAGTCTGGCTGGCTGAGGCTGGGAGCCTAGTGACACTGTGGCCGGCAGTGAGGACGTTAGGGGGACCTGCTGCTGCTGCTGCTGCTGCTGTGGGAGGAGGTCTCCGGAGAGGCGGATGTGGGGGCACGGATGAAGGTGGACCCCAGCCATGCCAAGCACAGAGACTTGGCCCGGCGGCCTGGCTTCCAACCTGGCCCCTGCCTCTTTTTAGCTGTGGGGCCTCTGTCCTCGGTGTCCTGGGCTGTAAGAGGAGAGTGACGGCTGTAGGGTTAAATAGGTGAGCAGCGGCTGGGACACAGGAAATGAATGCTAGGGGTAGCTAACGCTCTGGGGCAGATGGGCCCCCAGGACGGAGGGCTCCTGGGTGCTCCCCTCTCCCTGGCCGCCACATCCAGCCCCCACCACCGTTACCTCCCAGAGGGCTCCATGTTGCTGAGCCCACCTGCTGCTGCTCATCCTTCCCTACCCTTGCCTCCTGTGCTGCTTGGCACACTCCAGCTCCCGCCTTCTGGTTTTGTATCCAGAGGCTCCTAGGTTAGCTCCTACCTGCTCCCCAGCCTCCGGGCCCCAATGAATTTGCTACCAGAACAAATGATCTAACATGTGAGTCTGACCCTGCTCCAGATCCTTCTATGGGCCCAGGATATAGCTCAGTGGCACAGTGCCTACCTAGCAAGCATGAGGTCCTGAGTTCGATTTCTGGCACCAAAAAAAAAAAAAAAAAAAAAACCAAAAAAAAAAAAAAAAAAAAAAAAGATCCTTCAATGGCTCCAACCAGCTCCCTGCCACTCAGGGTACAGCTCCCGGAAGGCTGTGTCCCCTGCCCGGTCGCTCCAGGCTCCTTGCCCAAGCCGAACAGTTGTCCCTGCTCAGACGAGTGCTTCTCAGCTGCAGGCCTTGCTGTGTGAGCACCTTCTCCCTCACCTTCCAGCGCAGCTCAGTGTCCCCTCCTCCAGCCTCGCCTGGCCCTGCTGGTTGGCCCAGAGTGAGTCCTCACTGTACATGTCCTTTACCACATGATGGCCCGCTTGACTGGACGGCCTCATGAACTTGGGCCTCTTGGCTCTTGCCGCTGCCCCAGGGCTGGCACAGTGCCCAGGACTACTGAGAGGGGGAGGGGTGGGGGCCTGGCTCCTAGGTAGTGGCCGAGTGGGCAGTTTTGTGACTTCGCCTCCACACGGGACTCTGGGCCACAGACGGAGAAGCCGCCAGACAGACCCAAAGCGGCGACTCTGGAGCAGGGCACGCAGCACGTGGTCAGGGTGGGGGTTACCGCTGGGCTCTGTGGGGAGACTGGGACTGTCTTGGTCACCAAGAGCTGACATACCTGGCCAGCTGCAGCACCACGGCTGACACCGGAGACAATGGCTGCCTGCCCCGAAGGAGCTGACAGTGCCCCTCACTCCTCGGGTCCTCCGAGACAACTGATCCTAGTCCCGCACCATCCCCCCGCCCCTTCCCACCCCAGTCTCCACTGTTGCCAGAGTTGAGAGAACTTCAGGGACCAGGGACTTGGGACAGAAACGTCTAGAGGGGGAGAGGGACCCATGGGGGCACACGGGGGCTATTCCACCCCAGGTTCCCAGCCCCCTCTGGGCAGCTGCTCCAAGCGCTGCGCGGGCGGGGCGCGGGCGGGCCCTCTCCTCGGGGCTCCCCGGCCCTGCGGCTTTACGGGCTGTCTGCCTCTTGCAGCTGGCTGGACCCTGGGAGGGTGGGGCAAGAGCGGCTGCCAGGCCGTCGCTTCCCGGAGAGGCCAAGGCCGAGGTTAATGGGATCCAGGCCTCCCTCTGTCCTCTGGGCCGACGCCTTGGTCATCCCCCTGCGCCCTCCCTTGCCCCGTCCTCCTGCCCTGCCCGACACAGCGCTCAGAGGCGCGCTCCGCGTCCCACCCGAGGGCCCTCTGGAGAAGGTGGGTTGTCCTGGGAGGGGAGCCTGGGCGGGGACTGGCATGGAGGGCACCCTGGCCCGGAGAGGGGGAGCTGGGAGGGAGGAGGAGGTGCTGGTCCCCCAGTGGGAGAAGGAAATGGACCAAAGCACAAGCCGGCAGCCAGGCATCTCCCGGGACATCTAGGGACAGCTCAAGGTGTCCAGGGCCCACAGCCCCAGACTGTCACCAGTGCATCTCATTCAATCCTCCCACCACCCTGAGAGCCAGAAACGTTGGGCCACAAGTCTCACAACTGGGGATCGCCCCAAGTCTGACACCCCCGCCAGGAGGCCGAAGCAGGGCTGGGACACAGGTCAGAGCCGGCTCCGCCTCGGTCTTGGCGCCCGCTCCAGTCCCCGGGCCCCCGGCCCCGGTCCCCGGACAGGGCGTCTCCGTGCTCCTCTCACCTCCACCCCACCCTGCAGCGATGGGACCCGGAGCTGGCCGCCTTCGCCAAAGCCTACGCCCAGAAGTGCGTGTGGGGCCACAACGAGGACCGCGGGCGGCGCGGCGAGAACCTGTTCGCCATCACGGACGAGGGCCTGGACCTGCCGCTGGCGGTGGAGGAGTGGCACCACGAGCGCGAGCACTACAACCTCAGCGCCGGAGCCTGCGCCGCTGGCCAGATGTGCGGCCACTACACGCAGGTGCGGGGCGGGGCGGGGGGGCGTTCGCCAGGCTGAGAAGCTGCCTGGCGGGTGGGCGGGGTCTGTAGCTGTTGGGGCGGGGCCAGGCGCGGGAGGGGGTGGGGCCATGACTCTAACCAGTCCTGCCCGCTCCTAGCAGCAAATGCCCCCAACTTGGCTCTTGCCTCTCACTGTTGCTTTATTTATTTATTTGGAGACAGGGTCTTGCTATGTGCCCCAGACCGGCCTTAAACTCTTGCCAACCCTCCTCCGTCAGTCCCCCAGTACTGGGTTTGGAGGCGCGCACCACCACACCTGCCTCACTTGCTCTTTTTGCATTCATCATGATGCCTAATTCGCGATCTCTAATCTGCCAGAGGTCGATCGAGCATATAGAGGACCTTGTGTAATTCTTGCTTTTAGAAAACGATATAAGCCTGGCGTGGTGGGGCATGCCTGTAATCCCAGTGCTCAGGAGACTGAGGCAGGAGGGTTTCCGGGAGTTTGAGGCCAGACTGGACCACATAAGCGAGTTTAAAGGCAGCCTGAACTACATATGGAGACCCTGCCTTAAAACAAACAAAACCCTATAGAAGAGCATACAGCGTGCTGTGGTGGCACCCTCGTTATCCCCGCACTCGGGGAGGCTGAGGCAAGGGCGGGGCAACCGCAGTGTTCTGAGCACTTCCTGCTTCTCAGGCCTCCGGCCTTATCACTGGGTTCTCGGGTCCTCCCTGCACTGTGAATGTTTGGATTTACAGATAAGTGGGGTGTGGAAGAGAGGTCACATTAGTGCTCATTCCCCCCCCTCCGTCCTCCCAACTCTTGTACGAACAGTAACAGGGCAGACAAAAGCAGCCAATCATCTTCCCACCCGCACCCCCGTGGCAGGCTTTGGTGCCTCTTCTGGGAGGTACTTTTAGTCTCAGTTCTAGGGAAGGAAATCCAAAGGCACCCACCCACATCAGGAAGTCGCCGGTCTGGCCCCCACCTCGCAGCTCCCAAGCCCCGGAACTGCCCAGGCGCCGCAGGAGTGTTTGCCCAGCTCCAGCCAGGGTTCCTCTGGCCCGCGCTTCCTCCGGTTAGGGGCACCTGTCCTGTGGGCTCCCTACTGCCTGGAAGCTGATTTAAGCAGAAAGATTCCCGGCCCGGACAGAGCAAAGGAAAGCTAGTAGTCTTGCCTCAGGGCAACATGCAAAGGTTTAAATTCTGTACTTCAAACAGACCTCATTCTACCAGCTAGGAGAGAGCCGCTATTCCCAAAGACAGGCAGAGCAGCACCCTATGATTAGCTGCAGCATGGCGGAAAGATCCCCTTTGAAAATACCTCTTCCTCTTGTCTTCCTTAGACTTTTTTTGTAGCTGATGTCTAAGAGTCTACCATTTAAGATTCATTCCTTTGCATACGCCCGTTGGTTAAAATGCAAGGGCTTCTAGGAAGAGCCCGTAGGAAACATGTGAGAGTGTCTTAGAGCCCTTGAGCGGAGGGAGCTGGAGCTTAGAGCCGCAGAGCTTAGAGCCCTGGAGCTTACAGCCCTGGAGCTGAGGGAAGGCTGAAAGAGGGAGAGGCCTGGGAACCGGGCTTCGTTTGCAAAGGGAGAGCAGATCCTTAGGGGCAGCCCCTCACTCCAGTTAGAGTTGTGGACTTGGATCTCACAGGCTGGGGGGCGCCTCCCTCCCCACCCCCGGAGGCGGGTGCAGGGGGAGCAGCGAGGGGGCGCGCCGGCTCCGGGCTAAGTGCGGGCCTTGCCCCCTCCATCCAGGTGGTCTGGAGCAAGACCGAGAGGATCGGCTGCGGCTCCCACTTCTGTGAGACGCTGCAGGGAGTAGAGGAGACCAACATCCACCTACTGGTGTGCAACTACGAGCCGCCGTGAGTGCCGGGAGATCCTAAGAGGGACTGCTCTCTACGGTAGCCGGCCAGAGCCCCGGGCGCTCAAGGTGCCCTGCAAATCCCGGCTGGAGGCTGACACGCAGGGGCACAGGAGGACAGGGGAGGGGGCAGGGCTGGAAGGGCCGGAACCGCCCGCCCAACAGCGTCCTCGCCTCCTGCAGGGGGAACGTGAAAGGGAAGAGGCCCTACCGGGAAGGGACGCCGTGCTCCCAGTGTCCCCCGGGCTACAGCTGCGAGAACACCCTGTGCGGTGAGCCGGGGGCCAGCGCGGGGCGGGGCCGGAGAGGGGCGGGGCCAGCGGGGCGGGGCGGAGCCGCGTGGGGCGGGTGCGGCGCCGATTGGCTGCGGAGCGCCGGGACTCCCCAACCGCGCGGCCACCTGGGGGCCCTCGGAGGTCTCTTGCTCTCCCAGCACAGCCCCTTTGGCGCCCTGTCAGCCCACGTGGCCGCACTTCAAGCCCGGTTACTCTGGAGGGCACAGCCCAGTCCTGCTGCTCCTAGCGCCGCCCCGCGCGCACCGGTGGGCGTGACCGGACGGGCCGCGGTGGGCGGGGCCTCGTCCGTGGGCGTGGTCGGGCGCGCGGAAGAAGTACCGAGCTCACGCGGAGGAGCGCGGAGGAGGGGACGGTGGAGCAGTTGTCAGTAACGGCAGGCAGCCTTTCTTGTCAATGAGGGAGACATCCGCTGAAGAGGCGGACGTGGGGTGGCGGAGGGCGAGGGAAGCGGAGCCCCGTGTGCAGCGCCAATGCCAGGCCTTGTCTATCTCATCAGAACCCATCAGAGGCCCGGAAGAGGCGCAGGATTTGACTCCCCTGGTGACTGAGGCCCCATCCACCGTGGCGGATGAAGCCTCCGGCCCTGGGAAAACCGACACTCCTTCCCTAGCAACCGAGACGCCTAGCTTCTCGGTGCCAGAGGTCCCGGGCTCCCTGGCAACAGCGGCCCCGCCCATGGCGGGAACAAAGGCCCCATCTTCTTTAGCAACGGACCAGCCTGCCTCCATGGCAACAGAGGCTCCGCCCTCCCTAAACTCCGAGGTCCCTTTCGTTTCGGCCTCTCCCACCCCGCTTTTCTTGGAGGATGGCCCAGGGCCCCTTCCCAGGTCCACCCGCGTTCCCATCCTGCGAGCTGCCGACGAAGTAGCCAGCAAGACAAGCGCACCCCCCACGAGGCCAGAGAGCTCTCAGCATCCCACAGGGGCGCCCCTACCCCGTGCCCTGGAGGAGGTGGAGGCGGAGGCCGAGTTGCCCCCTTCCAGCGAGGTCATGGCCTCCGTTTTGCCAGCCCAAGGACAGGCTGAAGGGGAGGCTGAGTTGCCTCCTCCCGGTGAAGGCTTGGCCACAGTTTTTCCAGCCCAGGCCAAGCCAGGTGAGCTGCAGGCCACACTGGGCCACCTGGGGCACGCCAAGTCCCTGCCCAATGTCCCCGGTGACTCTGCCTCCGGCAATGCCGTGGGTGGGCGGACCCTGGCCCTGCAGTCGTCCTTGCCAGGTAAGGCCCGAGGCATGCAACCTTTCCTCCTGGCTCCAGGCTGGCAGCGCCCTGCCCTGGTGTAGGTGTGCGCGTGGAGCATGCGCCCTCCGAGTAGGCGCTTTGTGTCTTGCGGCTGCCACCCCTTGCATGGCGGAGGGTGGGACATCAGGCATCGGAGTCTGCAGGCTGAGGCAAGTCCCTCCTCCCCCCAGGTGCAGAGGGCCCTGAGAAGCCTGGCGGGGAGCCGGGGAGGAGCGTGGGGCACACGTGGGCGCCCGCCTCAGGACTGCTGCTGCTGCCTCCGCTGCTGTGTGCTGGACTCCACTGAAGGGGACGCCGTCCACACAAGGCCTGGTGGGCAACCAGGCCTCAGCCTACTCTGGATTGTCCTTCTCCAATACGAGGCCACGGCTTCCTGGGCAGGTCCTGCTCTGTGGTCCCGTCCCCTGGGGAGGCCCCTGTAGGGCCAACCCTTGGCCTGCCCCAGGAGCACCCTTTCTTCCGAGGCAGTCACCCTCGGCGGGCTGCAGGCTGTTCCGGGCAGCGTCAGAGCCCTGCGTGCCTGGTGCCCTGTTGTCCTGTGAGCGTGGCCTGCTCTCCCAGAGCTGTCTCAGCCTCCCCCCACAGCTTGGCTCCTTCCGAGCCCCTGGCCCCTTGCTCCACCCATCTGGCCCCGGGCTGCCCCCCAGTGCCTCCTGCCTCCCTCGGGTGTAGAGGTCACAGCCCAGACACCATCTCCCCGGCCATGTCCCCGGCCCCTCACACAAGAAGCCTCTTGGCTGAAGGCACGTGAAGGTCAAAAGGCTTCGGCTTCTGGGGCGCACAGCCTGGCTGGCCACTGGCTTGGGGACCCGGACTCCTCCTGCCCCCTGCAACTGAGTCCTGGGTGGGGGTCCTGGGTGGGGGTCCTGGGTGGGGCTCCCTGCCTGCCTGGCTTAGGTGACAAGGCCCATTCGAGTGGGGTTCTAGGGAGGGGAGGGCAGCAGCCCCTACTCCTGAATAAAGCCTGTCTGACAGCCGGGAGTCTCATTGTTTGTGAGGCCACCCAGGAGCCCAACTGCGCCCCTCCCACGGGAGGCCACTGCTCCCTCCTCAGCCTCCCTCCCCCAAGTCACAGGTGGCCCAGGGAAAGCCAGGGCCTCACCGGTCCCCATGGGCCGCTAGGTTGAGTCAGGAGCAAGGCTGTTGCCCACAGCCACCTGGGCCACTGGGTCAGAACCGTTCTCAGCAGGGCTTTGCCAACCCCAGGTGCTTGGGTGAGTCACGTATTTATTGCTTCTTTCACTTCATATATTTTCAAGGTTTAGCAGCATGCGTGGGAATTTGCTGCTTTTTACTGTCAGGTTGTATTTTATTCTGTGGACTAGTTTATCCATTCAACAGTTGGTAGACACTGGAGTTGTCTCCACTTTTGATTTACTATCAACTGAGCAATTATAAGCATTCCTGTGCTATTGTCTGTATGAACACACATTTTCAGTTCACTGGTGCATACACCTAATGGGGACTTTCTGGATCAAACGGTAACTTGAACTTCCGGAGGAATCTGCAGCCATTCTCATTCTCACAGGAAGTATGTGGGGTGTTAATTTGCCTATATCCTCTCCAATACTTGTTGTTGTGTATTTTTGGTGGAGTGGCAGGCATCCTAGCAGGTGTGAAGCACTATCTCCTCATGGTCCCAATTTGCATTTCTTGTGACAACTAATAATGGTAAACATCTTTCCACTTGCTGACTGGCTACTGGAGTATCTTGGAGACACGTCTGTTCAGGTCCTGTGTATTTATCTTCTTACAATTGAGTTGTAGAAGTTCTTAAATATTCAAGATACAAGTCCTTTATTAGATGTGAGACTGGCAAATATTTTCTCCCATTCTGTGGCTTGTCTTCATTTTTTTTTGATGATAGCCTTTGAATACATTTTCAATTTGAAAAGGTTTGTATTTTATTGGTACATTTTAGATATACATAACATGCATCATAAGGAGTTTGCACCTGTACGTGACATATCTTGATTCTTTTTTTCCCATTCTCTCTCCTCCCTTCAACCTCTCTTCCCCTCCTTAAAAAAGCTTTGTTTTCATTTTTTCCTATTTTTTTCTTGTCCCTTCTTTCTTCTCCCTGCTTCCTTGTTCCCCTTCTCATTTGAACGATTTCTTCCTATTTCACACTATCTAGTATATTTTTGTCCTTATTTACATTTTTGGTTTCTCATACCAGAATCAGTTTGGTATTTACACATGTATGTCTGATTTATTTCACTTAAGTGTATGGGCTCAAGGTGGATCTATTTAGCTAGAAATGTCTCAAGTTTACCTTCTTTACAGCTGAGTAGTTCTCCACTGTATATAAAAAACCACATCTTCTTTATCCATTCATTGACTGATGGGCATTTGCTTCCAAAATTTAGCTATTACAAACTGTGCTACTATAAACAGGGGTGTGCATATATCACTGTGGTATGATGCTTTTAATTCTTTTGGGAAGATACTCAAGGGGAGCAGCTGCGTCAAATGAAATCTCTAGTTTGTTTTGTGAGGAATCTCCACACTGATTTCCATAGTGGTTGCACCAGTCTACACTCCCAACAGTGGAAAAGGGTTCCTTTTTTCCATACAGCCCCTCCAGCACTGGTTATTGGTTGATTTTGATGATAGCCATTCTTTCTAGAGTGAGATGGAATCTCAGCATTGTTTTAATTTGCACTTCTCAAATGACCAGTGATGGTGAACATTTTTTCATATATTTACTTACCATTTCTACTTCTTCATCTGAGAAGTGTGGATTCATCTCAGCTCTTTTTGGATTGGGGGCTTTAAATTTGAAGGGGTCTGATTTTTTTTGAACTCTTTATATATTCTAGGTAGTAGTCCTTTGTCTGAGGGACAGATGGCAAAAATTATTGCCACACTGAAAACTGTGGGTTGTCTCTTCACTCTTTTGTTCGTTTCTCCATTTGCAAAAGGTTTTTAAAAAGATGAGATCCACCAGACATGGTGGTGCATGCCTGTAATCCCAGTACTAGGGAGGCTGAGGCAGGAGGATCATTGTGAGTTTGAGACCAGTCTGGGCTACAAAGTGAGCTCAAGGCCAGCCTGGACTGCATGGTGAGACCCTGTCTCAAAAAGACCAAAAAAAAAAAAAAAAAAAAAAAAGAGAGAGATCCCAATTGCTTCTTTGTTGATTCGCAGTTGATTATTTGTAATATTTCCTGTGCAATCAGGAAGTCTTTGTCTATACCTCAGAAGTTTGCAATGTTGATGTTCATTTGTTGCTTATGCTTTTGGTGTTACATCTGAGAAATGACTGTCCAATTTGAGGTCATAAAGATGTTTGCTGGGGGGCTGGGGATTTAGCTCAGCAGCACTGTGCCTGCCTGGCAAGCACAAGGTTGTAAGTTCGATCCCCGGTACCGGGGGGGGGAATGTCTGCCTGTTTCCTTCTAAGTTTTATGATCTTAGTTCTTACATTTAAGTCTTTGTTTTTTCTATTTTTATATGTGATACAAGCTAGGGATCCAATTTTATTCTTTTGCCTGTGAATATCCAGTTGTTCCAGCACTATTTTTTTTAAAGACAGGTCTTACTATGTAGTTCAGGCTGGCCTTGAACTCATGGTGATCTTCCTGCCTCAGCCTCCTAAGGGCTGGGACTACAGGCGTGCACCACCACTCCCAGCTGATTTCAGCACCCTTTTTCCCAGAGGATTATTCTCATTAAATTGTCTTTGTACCCTTCTTGAAACATCAGTTGAGCTTGAATGTATTTCCAGACCCTCACTTCTATCCTATGATCTGTCAGTCTTCCCTTATGCTACTGAACAATCTTGATTACTGCAGCTTTGTATGTAAGTTGAAATTAGGATATGTGAGTCTATGCACTTTGTTCTTTTTCAAGCCTGTTTTGGCTAACTTGGTCCATCGAATTTCCATATGAATTTCAGAATCAGCTTGTCACATTTCTTCCAAGCCAGCTGAGATTTTGATAGGGATTATGTAATACACAGTACCAGTCTTCATGTTAAATCATCTATGAACATGGGATACCTTACCACTTATGTAGCTCTTTAACTTCTTTCAAAATGTTTCATAGTTTTCAGTTTTACAATTCGTTAAATTTTTTCCAAAGTATTTCTGATGCTATTATAAATGAAATTGTTTTATTAGTTTCATTGCTCAATATATAAAAATAATTTATCAATCTTATCTTCTGCAAGTATCCTTGCTGAATTTTTACCAGTTATGTAAGTTTTAGTGGATTCCTTAGGATTTTCTATATGCCAGATCATGTCACCTACAGTTTTACCTCTTCCTTTCTAATTCACATAGTTTTAATTTCATTTTTCACCTAACTGCCCTAGTTAGACCCTCCTGTACAGGGCTGGACAAAGGTGACCAGAGAGTACATTTATCTTGTTGCTGATTGAGGATTCTATTCTGTATTGCACCAGTCAGTCTAATCTTAATTTTTGTTTTGTACCGGGAATTGAACTCATGCTCTTGCCCTTGCCAGGCAGGTGCTGCACCACTGAGCTCTAGCCCTGGCCCAGTCTAATCTTCATTTTGAGTTTTTTCCTAGTTGCTATGTATCTGGCTGAGAAGGTTCCCGCAGTTCCTACCCATGAAGGATGGTGACTTTTGTCAAAGGCTTTTTCTGTCTACTGGGATGACCGTGTGGCTCTGTGCTTTACGCTGTGGAGTGCGTGACACTGACTGAGCTTCGCATTAGAACCACGGCATTTCTGGGGAGCTCCTCCTCCTCTTGGGCCTGTGGGCGTGGCCAGGCACGCGGGCCTCCAAACCACTCTCCTGGTTTGGGCGTAGCACTGGTGCCTATTGGAAGGCAAGCGCAGCTGTCCACAGTTCTCAGGCCACCTGTCACCTGGAAGAGTCTAAGATGAGGCCTAGGGACCTGCAGAAGCCTACTTTCTGGGAAGTCCAGGGACACAAGGCATGGTGTCCCTGTGACAGATGGCAGGCAGGGGACATCAGCACAGGCAGCCGTGGGGGGGGGGGGTTCCCCCAGCACCCGTGCTTGGCTCTCAGGCTTCGGGAGCTGGCACAGGGCCCGCAGGTGCAGGAGGGGCCCGGTGTGGGCTAGCACCCCTGCCTCAGCCTGTCAGTCGCGGGGGGATAAGCTTTCCCAGGGAGGCGGGACGTGACTGGCTCCCCAGGGGCACTGCTGCTCCCGTCACCCCCTTCTGCCGAGCTCTGCTCCACCCCAAGCCTACGCCGCGACCTTTCTCAGATCAGAGCCCACTGTTCTAGCTGCCAGGATGGAATACCCCGGGAGCAGGACCCCAGGGTGTCACCTGGGGACGGGCCAAGCCCACCGCAGCCCTGCTCCTCTGCCGGGCAGAGCATCCGGGCGTCCTAAGGGCCCACTTCCTTCAGGCTCTAGAGATGGAAGCTTCCTGAATCTGGGCGCCGCAGGAAGTAATTAATGTTAAAAGAGGGTTCCCGGGAGGAGGAACGTGAAAAAGTTACTCTTGAAACAGTGGTTGTGCTAGAGGGAGCACATGGGCAGGGAAAGACGACGGGCCATGAGACAGGCCCCCTCTGCGGACCCAAGACCGTGCACTGAAGAGTGGGGCCGCCGAGGCCTGGCCTGCTCACCCTGACCCCTGACGTGGTCCCCCCTCTCCTCAGCTGTGAGGTGACTCCCTAGGACACAGCGCTCACACAGCACACTTCTGGCTTCTGGGCACCACGGAGCCCCACGTGAGACTGCCCTTGGGTCAGCGGGCACTCGGCCACCAGAAGACAGTGCTGCAGAAGCGTCCCAGACGCTCCCTAGGGGACAAGAAACTGCCTGTGAGGGACACACAGCCAAAGCCGCCAGGCACCCTGAGAAGTCAGGGCAGAGAAGCTTTGGGGGACCCCGGCTGGACCTCCAAACAAGCGAGTTCTGTCTAAGACACCAGTGTTGGGCAGGAACACAAGGAAGGGGGTCTGTACATTCTGCTGTAGCCCTGTGGCCACTGCACCCACCGACCCGGGGACAGGTCACCTTCGAAACGTGCTGGTTAGCTCAGCTGCATAAGCGCCTGCCTGGCAAGTGCAAGGTCCAGAGTTCGATTCCCAGTACCCAAAAAAAAAAAAAAAAAGAAAAGAAAGGTGCTGGTTAGGGTTCATACCTGGGTGGGCCCCCAAGACCTCAGATGCTCCTAGGTGGGGCTTCCACCTAACCCACGGTGCAGATGGGCCTGGTCCGGGGAGGCGGTCATGGGGGCGTGGCCTGGACCCTCCTGCTCCCCCTCTTCTCTGCTTCCGGTCCCCATGCCCAGAGCAGCTCTCCTCTGCCAGGCCCCTCTGCCAGGTCTCCCTGCCAGGGAGACGGTGGGTCGTGAACTGAAACATGAGCTAAAATAACCCTAAGTTTTGGGTGTCAGTGTTGTCTCAGCAGCGAGAGTGACACACAGCGCTGCTGTGGGGAGGGCTCTTCCTGAGGAGCAGGCGCAGGCGCAGGCCAGCCTCCCTGTGCGGGCTGCCCCAGCCTCGGGGAGGCCTCACGCTGTCGCCCCAGGCTGCCCTCTGCCTCACTGCGACAGGCTGGGAACCCTGAGAAGCGAGCCTGGCTGTGTTTGTGAGACTCACAGAAGTGCGACTCCCCGCGGATTCCAAATCACCACTGACACATTTATTTGAGGGAAATGAGTACAATCTTACCAGGAACTAGGGAGGATGAGACACTGATCTGCCTAATTCCCGTGGACTCACACAGATGCACAGGCGACCGGCCCCACACGAGCGGCGTCACCGTGAAACGCACGAGTGCGAGAAGGGGACACATCCTGAGGGGTCACACGACTTCCCACTCGGAAGCGCTGCCCTCCCATCGGAAAGTAGTGTTGAGAAGAACGGGCGAGGACCCGGCGTCAGCCTTCAGCAGGGGCCGGCCGGGCCAGCAGCCTCGTGAAGGGTGACCCGGCTTACAAAGCACATGCCGCTCCCACCCGGCTGCAGCGGGCCGGCCCCCACAGCCTCTCTCGGGCCCCTGCACCGGGGGGACTCGGCAGGCGTGGGAAGGAAGGGGGTCCTGTGCCGACTCCCCACCCGCCCCACCTTCTGCAGGGCTAACAGGCGCCCCCGTCTGGCCCTGTGCCTGGACAGACCCTGGGGGCGATGGAGCGGCCGTGGGCAGAGCGTGTGGAGGTGTTGCTGGGGGTCAGGCCGAGCGGGCCAGGCCAGCTGTGTGGTCAGGTGATTCGGGTCACTCCAGGGCAAAGCACGACCCTGAGGACACGCGGCGGAAAAGCAGGCTGGAGCCCCGGAAGAGCTGGCCCTGGGCGGGAGGGAAAGCGGAGCTGCTGGGAGGGGAGGCCAGGTCTTCCCGTCCCCCCAGGTGACTGCTCGCAGAGGCTGGGTCGGGTGGCTTCACTCCCGGCCTGAGGTACCCCAGGGATACGGGGCTGCTCGCAGGGCACCCCCAGGAGCGGCCTGGGCCTGAGCGTCCAGGAGACCGAGGAGGTGCTGAAGAACTCCGCCCTCTGCCCTCTGCCCTCCTCCGCTGGACACCGACGCCAAGCGCCCCGCCCCAGGCAAAGCCTTGTTTTTTACTGTGAGGCAGAGCAGGGACAGGAAGAGGCATGGAGCTGACCTGGCTCCCGCACACCCCTCGGGCACCCAGGGCTCCCCACCCCTGCCAGCTGCCTGCTCCCCTCTGCTCCGCCTCAGGATCCGCTGGGCCAGGGGTTCCCCCGGGAGGTGGGAGGCTGGGCCCCCAGGGCAGCAGCACCCTGGCTCAGGGATTCAGCCCAGCTGCTCTCAGCCCACACGCCCTCCACCCACGTCACTGCGAAGGAGAGCTGCGGGGCTGTGGTGCTCGAGCCTGCACTCAGCCCCGCCACGTCAGATGCACCGAGAACCTTTGGTTTTGCTGTTACCCTTCTCCCCTTTGTGCAGCCCAAGTTCACTCTGCAGCGCTGGCTTTTCCCACACCCGTTTACCTCACAGTTTTCACACACATCCTGGCCCCTTTACAAAAACAGAAAGTCCTTGGAGTCTACTACTTCCGCATGGGCCAAAGCCCCACTATGCTGGAGTCTCATCAAGACCTGGGCCTGATGGATAATTTTTATTTTATTTATTTAAGGCATAGGGCCTTGCCGAGCGTGGTGGCGCACGCCTGTAATCCCAGCACTCAGGAGGCTGAGGCAGGAAGATCTTGAGAGTTTGAGACCAGCCTGGGCTACAAAGTGAGCTGAAGGCCAGCCTGAACTGCATAGCGAGACCCTGTCTCAGACAAAAAAAAGGAAGACATAGAGCCTTGCTATATTGCCCAGGCTGGCCTGGAACTCCTGAGCTCAACTGATTCTCCCACCTCAGCTTCACAAGTACCTGGAACCACAGGTATGTGCCACCATGCCTGGCACTGACACATAATTTTATTTTACTTTTTGTGTGTTTGGTTTTTTGAGACGGTGTCTCACGATGTATGTAGTTGAGGCTGGTCTTGAACTCACTATACAGCCCAAACTGGCCTGGAACTCACGGCGATCCTGCTGCCTTAGCCTCCCACGTCAGCCTCCAGAGTGCTGGGATTTTAAGTGTGGGCCACCATGCCCAGCCTGATGCATCATTTTAAAATAAATCCAGGCCTGGCCGCCTCAAATCCTTCCTGAAATACGGGAAGGCGCAAATGTAAAGGCCTTAAGCCAAGTGTTGTACTCTGTCCACCGAGCTGAGTCGCGTCAGGCTCCGAGCCCCCTTAGCTTCCCCCAGGAAGAGTGCGCAGAGCTGGGAACCTAGGGGACGAGGCAGGGCGCGGGCGCCTCCTGCTGCGGCTGCTTACCTGCACACTCAGGTACTTCCAGCAGTGAATCCAAGACTTGAACACTGGGGAGTATGGGGGGAGCCCAGCCTGCAGCCTGCGGGAGGAGAGGGCATGAGACCCGAGGGCAGCGGAGACAGGCCGGTCGAGGGGCAGGGACCCCGGCAGGACGGCTTGGCGCTGCCAGCTGCCTGCACCTGGAAAGCGGCTCACCCCCCCAGGCGTGGAGAAGCCCAGAGGAGCAGCGGTGGGAGGGGGCTCGGCTGGGGGCCGCAGAGAGGGGCGACACCTACCCACAGTTGTTCACCGCCATGAGGTCGCCCACCAGCAGGAAGGGGTAGGTCAGCATGCTCACTGCAATCTGAAACGTCGGCACCTGGGCGCAGGGTCTCCTCCCGGGCCCAGGCACCCGACCCCGGCACCCGCCTTGCCAGCCGCCCCCAGCCCCACCGCAGCCTCGACTTACCCCCATCACAAACTTGGTGTAGCTCCGGATGGCCAGGGCCTGGCTGAACTGAGGAGACACAGGAGTGGCGATCTGCCATCGCACTCAGGCACAGGCTCACCCACCCTCCCCGCGGCGCACAGCGCCTTCCCACCCGGGCCCACCCGCGGCTTCCAGCGCCTGGACTGCGAGGAGACCTCAGAGGCAGGAGTGGGCGAACTGGGCGGCAGGCACCCAGAGGGCTGAGGACCCCAGGGTCAGCTGCGGGTGCCCGGCACTGTCTGTGGTTTGATACAGGGACCGATTCCTGAACGGAAGGACAGACTCGTCCTCGGTACCCAGACAGAGGACGCCAGGCTCCTGCTAACCCGTGTCACCAACTGTCTACCTCTGGGTGAGGGACAACACCACGACCCCACTCCCGAGCTCAGTGCAGGAGACAGCTCGAACTAGGAAGAAAGCTCACTGCCCGTCCCCAGCTTTCGGTGGGGCGGCCACCCGCCCGAGGTGCCCAGAGCCCGCAAGGGCACCCAGCACTCCACCCTCAGCTCAGCCCTTCTGTGTGGCTGCTGGCGCTGGCACTGGTGCAGCCGCCACGGGCCGACAGCGGCACTGGACCCCGACCAGAGGGCCTGCTGCCAAGGCACCGAGGCCTGCTCTGCGGGGACAGTGGCGGCGCACCACCCACAGCGCGGGAAAGAGAGCGCCCCAGGCCCGCACTGTCGCTGCAGCCGGGAGGCAGCGTCTGGCCAGGGTCCCCGTGGGCAGAGGCTGTCACTGGGACCACACACAGGCGCCCAGACCCACCCCACCCCCGAGTCACCAATAGGTGCAGGCACTGGGACCACCCCCAGAACACTGAGGAGGGCCCAGCGCAAGAGGCCTTGGAGGGCTGGCCCTTATGTGGTTCCCTGGCCCTTGTCTTGCCACCTGGACGCTGTGTCCAGCCTGTGCCCAGCCTGAGCTGACCAGAGCTGACACAACGATGTGGGCCGAGCCTGGCAGGCCCTTCTAGCCCCTGCGCCATTCCACAGGCCAGAGACCTAGGGGCCAGAGACCCCTCTCACCCTCCAGCAGTCTCTGTGCCCGTTGCCTGTTAGAGGGGCCCCGCGCCTGTCGGGGCGCCTGGGCAGAGCATCAGGACCTGAGGCCACGCTGTTCACAAAGGGACACCACAGAGGGCGTGAACGACAATGCCAAGGTCGGGTCACTATGACTGCTGGTTCCTCCTTTCATTTCTCGGGCCCTACTTGGGCGCCGTCTCTAAAGCACGCCCAGGCCTGGGTTCCAACCTGGACTCTCATCTCCCCGACGGCAGCGCGAACTCGAGACAAATGAGGGCCCCCTCTCACCCTCCAGCGGGAGCACCCCAGACCCTGGACATCAGGAGTACGCGGAAAGAAGGACGCGTCCTTGTTCCAACCAACCTGGGAACCTGGATTCTGGTCGTTTCCCAGCCCCCCGGGGGAGTCACTCACGCTGTCATCCACCAGGTAGGCATTGATGAAGTGGGCCAGCAGGTTACAGCCCCACAAGAAAACCACGTCGCCCAGGAGGTGGGGGATTAAGCCACTACAAAACAAGTGAGCGGAGGTGAGTGGCGGAGGGGGCGGTCCGGGCCACACAGCCGGGGGGCGGGGAGGGCGGCTCAGGCACAGCCACCGCTGCCCAGGCCCAGCCAGGGGGGAGGGGCGGGTGGGCCACAGGCTGCTCAGGTGGGCGAAGGAGTCACACGGGTTCCAGAGCACGGAAGCCCAGCATCGAGATTCACTGCTGCTGGGTGTGGCTCGCCTACCATGTGCACGGCCTGGGTTCCATCCCTAGCACCAAAAAATATAAAAACTGCAAAGCCGTGATTGTTGCCACATCTGGTATTATTTTCAGATGCGAACAGTGGCAGTGCCTTGGTAGCTGCTCCTGGCCTGTCCCTAACTGTCACCAGCTCTCACAGGACCTTGCTCCACACAGCCCTTCACCTCTGGATGGTCCACGATGACACTCAGAGAGTGGCGGCCTTCGGGGACATGGCTCCACACAGCCTGCGGGGGAGCTCCCCGGCCCAGCACTGAGGGCAAATGAGCACTGAGGTAAGCGGGTCCGGGGTGCCGCTGTGTCTTCGAGAGCGCGCCCTCTCCGGTCGCGGCGCTGTCCTTTGGAAAGTGGTGTGTAAGATGTGCGTGTCGTGCTGCTGCTGGGGCTCTAAGGCCACCACCTGCGAAATGGACCAGTGGCACATGTGGCTCCCCACCAAGTGCAAGAGAGAGCACACGTGGTGTGCCAAGGCGAAAGGGCGGGTGCCGGCAGACGGGGCACCCCCACACTGCACCTCACGGATGCAGGTCCAGGCCCCGAGAGCGCGCAACACCTGAACCCGGGAGAGCGGCCAGGCGGCATCCGGTTCCTCTTCGGAATTGCAACAAGTCCCAAGAAGTGTTTTGATTTTAAAAAACTAAAAAACAACACTTTAAAAAAATGTGTCTCTGTGCTTGTGAGAGCAGGGAGGGCCTCGAGAGCCGCTCCTGGAGAGGAATCTCGCCTGCCTCTTTGGAGGAGAAGCAGATGACTGTTTTCAAATTTTTACATTTTTTCTGGTCGCAGTTTTGGGAACTGAACCACAAGCTTTTTCACACTGAGCTACATCTCCAGCCCTGTTTTTTTATTTCGAGACAGGATCTCGCTAAACTGCCCAGGCAGGGCTTGGCCTTTGGCTCATCTACCTCGACGTCCCAGGGTGCTGGGATGATAGGCTTGCGCCACCACATCCGGCCTGAATTTAAAAAAAAATACAAATATTTGAAGAGTTCAGAAAAATTACCGAAGGCATCTGTGTTATGAGGCATTCAACAAAACCAGCCTCTGTGGGGGCAATCTCCAAGCCTGGAGCCTCTTCCCGGGCCGGGCCGGGCCGTGCCGTGCCGTGCCGTGTGTGTGTGTGTGTGTGTGTGTGTGTGTGGTGACGTGCAGCGTGTCACGGGCTGAAGCATGAGGGAGGCACTGTGTCTGCACGTGTGCATGGGCGTGCGTGTACACATCACTCAGCCAGGATTCTCAACCTGGCGCTACCGCCCTCGGGGGCTGGACAGCTCTTGGTCGTGTGGCTGCCCGTGCTGTCCCCCAGCACCTGCATGCCAGGTGTGAAGCCATGAGAGGCCCCAGGCACTGCCAACGTCCCTAGAGAGCAAAAGGACCCGCTGCTGAGAACATCAACAGATACGAGCGCACGTACCCGCGGGTCCTACTTGCACAGGTGGTTCTTGGTTAAACACAGATCATTAAGTAAACCCGTTCTGCAAGCTGGAGAGTTGCAATAGAAAGACCCGTTGATACGGAACCGACATCTGATCTACTACGTACTCAGCAGCTGTCCGTCACTGCCCGGACATGAAGGAGCCGAAACAAAACCATACTTGCTGGGCCGGCGTTCTAGGTTCTCGTTGTGCTTTCTGCTTGCCCAGCAGCCTTTGCAGAGTGAGCTTTCTTTACAGGGGAAAGGACTGGACATGGGACCGCAAAGAGGGCCGGGGTTGGTGGTCACCAGATCCTGTGGCCTGCCAGGGACACAGCCACCGGCCCCAGCTGACAGCTACTCTGCAGACGCAGAAATGCAGGCCCAGCAGAACCCAATTTTCTGACTTCCAGAGGAGCCAGAAATACGGACTTCTGTGTGACGTCTTCAACGTTCAATGTTAACTAATTTGTCAGGACAGAAAGCACTGGCTGAAGTCAGCCTGGGAGCTGCCAGCGTGCAAACCTCCGGCCAAGTCACAGATTTCCGGTCCTTTCTGGCAGTGAAACCGAGGGCTCTGAGGGCCCCTGGTTCATGGGGCCCAGCTCTGTGTCCACCACAGCCCCAGGCCAGGTGGACGGGGCCTGGCAGGGCAGCCAGGTCGCTGTACTGGACAGTTTTTTCTAGTGCCAGGGGTTGAACCCAGGGCACACACATGCTAAGGCACATGTCCCAGCACTGCCGCAGCTCCGGCCCAGTTCCACTTCATGTGAGCTGTGGCCCAGGGCTGCGCTGGGGCACTATGGAGCAGGGCCGGAGCCCTGGTCAGTGCAGGGCAGCAGGCAAGGCCAGGGAGGCAGCGGGCGCTGGGAGGCGAACCACGCCATCCCACTTCGGGGCGGGTGACTCACGTACACGAAGAATCCCAGCAGCCCCTCCTCCTTGAAAATCTTCCCAATGGAGCTCAGCACACCGCTGCGAAGAGGGCAAGGTGGGGACCCAGGTCACTGAAGACACCCACACCCAGTCCCGCTCAGCCCTGGCCAGGATGGGACAGGGGGAGCACACAGAGAATCCGAGGGATGCGGGGAGAGGGAGAGGGAGAGGGAGAGGGAGAAAGGGAGGAAGGAGGGGCGGAGCCTGTCTGGGGCGCGGTCCTCTCCCGCTGTTCTCTGCGGGATGCGGTTCCCACCTGGCCTTTCCTTGCCTGGCTCTGGGGCTCAGCTCTGGCCACACGACCTCCCAGAGAGGGGTGCAGGCTCACCCCACTGTGAGGGCAGGAAGGGGTGGCAACCAGAGTCCCTTTTCCAGGGTCAAAGCAGGAACCCATTTCCTCCAGCAGAAAGCCCTCCCCGGGGGGCCCTGGAGCCCAGTGCTGGGGCCACAGCAGCCTGTTGGAGATCAGAGGCAGGCTGTAGGGTCTCCAGAGACTGCACAAAGCCCTGGGGAGAGCAAGGCAGCGGAGAGGACCAGGCGGCCGAAGCCCCACCAGACCCCAGGATGCACCTAGAACAGCAGCCTGGCCCCTGGGGTTCACGCTGCATCACCACCACTCCTGCCCCAGGCCGTGCACCCACTCATGTTAGATCTGGGGGGGCAGACCACTCCCACCAGCGAGCTTCCTCGGTGGGTGGGCAGCCCCATGGGACAGAACAGAAAATGGACCTGGGAAACCAACTGGGGTTAACCAGGGTGGCCCTTGGACCACACAGAGGCTCTGGGAAGGCCATGCTGGACAGTGTCCTCAGGCCCACCTCAGGGACACGGCAGGGCTAGGTATCCGGCGTACAGCTGGGGGGGGTGCCCAGGCCCACAGAGAAGACAGCTCTCAGCACAGGAGAGAAAGAGCTAGAATCCAGGTTCTGTAGCAGCTTGAGAAATCATCACGGCAGAACTTAGGGAGCTCAGGAGGGCCCCACTCAGTGCTGGGCCGAGCACCCCTTCTGGTGCCCAGATTCCTAACTTCACGGACTCTACCCCCGCCACCTCCTGCAAGCCCCCGAAGGTCACCGAAAGCAGAAAGAACAGAAAGCGCCCTGGACACAAGCACAAAGCCACCGCCACGTGCCTGCAGTGAGGTGGCAGGGCGGGCTGGCAGAGACACAGGGCAGAGGGGGCAGAGCCTGAGCCTAGGCCGGGCGGGCAGGCGCTGGGCACCAGGGCCACCGTGCAGACCCAGAATTACCCACCTGTACTTGGCCTCCCGTCCCACAAACTGGACCATGCAGCGCATTGAGATGACTGTGGAGAGAGAAGCTCAGGCTGAGCGGGCAGCCGCGTGGCCGCTGCACAGCTCGGCCCGGAAAGGACCCCGGCCCAGGCCCCGCCCGCCGGCCCAGCCCCAGGGCCCACCGCCCCGCTCACCGTGCAGCGGGTGGGCCAGCATGCGCGACACACACTGCATCATCATCTCGTAGGACGTCTGCAACAGCACAGGGAAGGGGCGCGTCAGCCTGGGTCTGGGGGAGCCCGGGATCGCAGCCTGCTCCAGGCTCGCCCCACCCCCAGCACTGCCGGTCCCGGACTGGACTCTGGCACCGAGGGGCTTTCTGGGTCTGAGCGCCCCAGATGCAGCTCCCTCCGCACACCACCCACCCAGACACACGCACGGGGACCCCAACTCTGAGGGAGAGACGATCGGGACCCCTGCACCACAGACACCCACCTCCTTCACGACTTTCCTCAGCGAAGTCTTCATGTCGTCCTTGTTGGAAACCTGCTCCATCTCATCCGGGGGGAAAACCTGAGGGGGGAGCGGAGGACCCAGTGTGCGTTCAGCCATACTGCAGACACCCCTAAGCGTGTCCCCGTACTGGCTGCCGGCCAGGCCACCTCAGGCCTCCCCCAGGCCTGGAGGTCGGGGCGGAAGGAAGCCACCACGCCCGGGTGGCGCAGCCAGGCAGTGGGCGGGGCCTCCCCAGCTCCAGACTTAGGGTCTGGCCGCCAGCATCTGCAGCCACCCTGGTGCGGGGCGCAGGGGCAGGAGGCGGGGCGGGGAGCACCGGGTCGGGCCCCCGGCCCCGCCCACTCACCTTCTTCATGCTGCCGCGGGTCACGGTCGAGAGGGCGTTGGACATGAGGCGGGGGCTCAGGCCCCGGAACAGCCCGATCTTCCCGTCCACCTGCACGATGTACTTGGCTGCAGGAAAGCGGCGGCGGCGGTGGCGTCACGCCCGGCCAAGGCACCCACACTCGGGCCAGCTCCAGCCCGTGCGGGGCCCCGGTGCCAAAGTGCCCCCTCCCCCGCCCCCGCCCGGCCTGTTTCTCTTCGCAAAGCCTTTCCGCACACTTCTGACAAGGACGCGCTTCCACCTCCCCACTTCTTGGCTTTAAAAGCTCTACCTGGCAAACCCGGCTGTGGTTCTCAACTCAGCAGCACAAGAGCTGCAGCCCCAAACCGACTTCAGCAGCGAATAACATGTCTCTCGGGTGAGAAAAAAAGGGAAAGGAGGACACAGGTGACGACGCCCTTGCGACCTCAGGGAGAAGGAGCAGAGGGGAGGTGACCCGGGGACACCTGTGGCCACACAGCAGGCGCGACGGTCCCCTCCCTTGGTGCGCTGCTCCAGGACACCGCCCGGCGCCTGCTGGCACGCCGCAAAAAGGAAGAGCGAGTCTGAGGTCACTGCACCGGGAGCACCAGCACCTCTGCCCCGTGGGCCAGCGTTTCCCCTCACTCGCTTTTAAGGAGACTGCCTGGCAAGCTCCATTCCGGGTACCAAAAAATAAATTATGTTAAAGTTTTTTAAAAAAAAGAGACTCTCAGGGCTGGGGATTTAGCTCAGCAGCACAGGACCTGCCTGGCAAGCACAAGGTCATGAGTTCAATTCCTGGTGCCAGAAGGAAAAAAAAAAAAAAGAGACTCTCATGGTTCACTGTTCTCTTTCACATCAGCTTTTAAAACCTGTTCTAAAAGGCGATGTTGAGGGCCAGGGATATAGCTCAGTGGCACAGTGCCTGCCTGGTAAGCACAAGGTCCTTAGTTCGATTCCCTGTATCAGAAAAAGTAAGTAAATAAAATAAAAGGCGATGCTGCTCTGTAAACCTGTGCCCTTAGAAGGAGACGGAATCTGGTCTCCAACCCGGCTCCCCGTTCCGACCCAGTGCCAGCTCTCTAGCGCCGCGCAGAGGCAGCGAGCGGCAAGTGCGCCTCTTCCTCCTGCACACCCTGTCCGAAGTCCAGCAATTCAGAAGTTCAGCAATTCAGCGTCACTACCAGCTGGGGCTCCCACGGGGCTGGTGCTCCCCTCACCTGGCACGTGGCTTCCTGAGGTGGGGGTGCGCTGGAAGAGGACTGTGCAGGGGGCGGGGGGTGGGACGCTGGACACCCACAGAAGTGGAACGCAGAGGAAAGGTTTGCTCTGGGGGAAGGGAGAGCCTAACACATCCTAGGCAAACACTTGGCTCTTCCGGTCTGCTGACCATCTCTCGCCACAGAACATGTCAGGACAGCCGAGCATGGTGGCTCATGCCTGTAATCCTAGCACGTGGGAGGCTGAGGCAGGAGGATCTCTGCAAGTTTGAGACCAGCCTGGGCAACACAATAAGACTGTCTCTAAAATACAATAAAATAAAATTTAAAAAGTCACAACAGCTGCGGTGTCCTCCACCACACTTGGGGAGGTGCAGACACTGTCCTAATCAGTGTCCAGAAGTGCCCAAGCATCTCATAACAGCCTGTTGAGATAACATTTCTGCAAACAGAGCAGGGCCGCCTCAGAACCCTGCTTGTCTCTGCAGGTCTTGGGGTGAAGGGCAGCCTCTGCAATGGCCAGGGGCTGTGAGCGGAGTGGCCCAGGCCCCATTCTCTCACGACACCGCAGGGGAGGGGGCCAGCAGTCCCCAGACGGCTCACACTCCCAGCATCCCCTCTCTGCACGGGCGCTGCTGCTCGGCAGTGGGGGTCCCCTCGTCTCCCCTGCACTGACTGAAACAAGGCGCACACATCTCTCCCCACAGACAGACCCAGAACCGCACTCCGCCACAGGGCCGGATGGGAAGAGAAATAAGCATGAGCTGAGGCTGCCCACTCAGCGTGCGAAGAGGAAGTTATCCAGCAGGGGCTGCTCGGGAGCGCCCCACAGGTGCAAGGACGCGGGGCTGATCTGGACGGGGCGCTGGCTGTGAGCGCGTGGAGAGAAAGGGTGGGCTTAGAGGCGCCATCGTGGTCACTGGCAAGGTGGAGATGGGAACCAGAAGAGGCCCAGCCAGCTGGCGCCTGCAGGTGACGAGGGACTGCAAGGCGGCCATCCCAACAGGGACAGCGGCTAGGACGGGGCCCTGACGTAGGACCTGGGCCAGAGGCGCTGTGCGGACTCTGCAGATGGGTGCAGAGCAGGTACAGGAAGCAGTCGCCCAAGCTGCGAGGCAGGACACAGTACCGACAACCAGGGGCTTGAGACGCAGGGCCAGGAGGCCCCTGCCTGGGGGCACAAAAGGGAGCACCTGAGGGCCCCCCACCTCCTGCCAGGGCAGCAGAAGCCCAGAAAGGCAGCTCAGAGGGAAACCGAGCCCCGCCCCACTTCCAGGCACAACCTGCATCAGCAGGGATGACAGGGACCAGGGTCCTGCGCCGGCCGCTCCCGGAGGCACCTGGCACCCACTCCCACTCCTGCCTGTCACCCTGCGCCAGCTGTGCGGCAGGTCCCCAAGGCCCCTGGGCCTGCTCCCCCCCTGCGGCTTCCTCCCCGTCACTCACCGTAGGTGAAGAAGCTCGGCAGGTAGAGGACCTTGCGCCCCAGCACGTTGGTGCCCAGGGTGGGGGGCATCGGCTCATGACCCACCTTCAGAAGCAACAGGGACAAAGCAAGGTTCCCGGTGACGTGGGCCACCATGCCACTCGCCCCCAGCCTCTACCTCCGCTCCTCGCGATCCCATGCTGTTCCTGTCCTCCGTGCAATCGCCCCAGAAATGTCACCAGCATCCCCTAGGTACCCAGGCTTGAGCCCCCCAGCACCCTTGCCTCAAGTTCCAGCACAGGAAGCCCCACTTTTAATCACTTCATACTCCGTGCTCATCTCAGAATAAATCTCATCTCCCCCCGAAAACTTCACCCCAACCTAATGCCCAGCCTGGTAATGCCAAAATATTCTGTGCTCAGGTCCCAGTGCCACCCCCGCCACTCCACACTGTCACCTACCCCAAGTGCACCCCGCTCCTAGTCTCCACCAAGGCCACTGTGGGCCCCACCCCTGCTCCACCCTCTCCCGGTCCCCGGGCTTAGCCACTGTCCCCTGGCCCCTCACACACATCCTCCCCTCTCACCCATACCCCGAGACAAAGGGCTGTATTGCCACTGTGACTCCTGCCGTATGGACAGGTCGTAACTAGGTTTCTGCCCGCCCACACCCGCGGGCGAGCTCCGCTGAGGGCTGGGTGTCTGCTGGGCTGCCAACCTCAGGGGACGCCAGCAGGTGGCAAGGTGGCAAGGTATGCAGGAGCTGGCGCCTGGGTGGGGAGAGGGCAGGCTGCCCTGCCTGCGCGGCTGGAGGACGGGTTGGGACAGCCCGCCTCACGCGGGTAGCATCAGGTGCCTCCGAGCTGCAGCAGGTGCCTTTGAGCACTTTCCCTGGGCTCAATTTCCTTCTCTTCTTGGCCTCAGACAAGTGGTTTTGCTTTTGTCTTTTGAAACAGGTCTCACTATGTACTTCAGGCTGGACTCCAACCTGGGTGATCCTCCTGTCTCAGCCGCCAACTTCACTTCTGAGGCACTGCGTTGTCACCAAATCCACACAGCTCCAAATCCGACACTCGCTCCTGCTCCCCAAAACAGTGACTGCCTTTTGCAAGATGCTGCTCAGACTCCAGCTATCCCCGTTGAGCTCGCGCCCCAATGGGGCTCCCCCATTTCCACCTGGCCCCCCACCATCCAGCTCTCATCCTTTGGGCTCCCTCATCCAGTTCTTCCTGCAAAACACTTTACTTCGATTGTCTTTTCAAATCTGTCAACCAAAGCAACCACTGCCCAGGCGACAACACTAACCCCCCCGCCACGCTTTCCTCACGCGGAGCCCACCAGAGCAGCGCCCACCTGCCACCCTAAAATCCCGGCCCTCTCACCACCCGCAGCCTCTAGACCCTCTCACTTCTCAACTCAGGCTCCAGCAAAGCACCTATTCCTCCCTAAACCCTTGCCCTTGAGGCTGTAAAGCCCAATGCTGTCAGTAGAGCGAGTGGCCCTTGCTCCCAGGCTGCACCCAAATGCCGGCCTCGACCTTCCTCGGGCCACTTCCAAACTTCAAAACCTCAGTCTGGGGCTCTGGGCCGGCACCTCCATGTCTGACTGCAGCCCTTCATTCTGTCCTACCTCTGGTCACACTCAAACACCTATTTGTGACCGCCCTTCCTGACCCCAGATTTCAGTTCTGCCCTCTCTCTCTCTTTTTTTTTTTTTTCCGGTACCGGGAATCGAACTCACAACCTCGCACTTGCCAGGCAGGCGCTGTGCCGCTGAGCTAAATCCCCAGCCGCAAGGTCTGCCCTCTCTTCAAGCCCCCTGTTTCCCACACCGGGCGGAATGCTCTCTATTCAGTCAAGCTCAGGGCAATCTGGCAGTCACTCGCCTTAAAACAAACCTCAAGCTCCAGCTCCGTTTTTATTTAGTTATTTTTGTCTTTTTTGAGACAGGGTCTCACTGTGCAGTTCAGGGTGGCCTTGAGCTCACTTTGTAGCCCAGGCTGGTCTCGAACTCACAAGGATCCTCCTGCCTCAGCCTCCGGAGTACTGGGATTACAGGCTTGCGCCACCACGCCCGGCTCCAGCTCCGTTTTTTACTTCCTACCCTCCTCTTTCCTAAATTGGAAAATTCTAGCCCGCACGTCAGAGACACATGCTCATCCTAACTCTGCCTTTCTGGCTGGCGCCCACCTCAGTTGCTAAGCCTGCATCCCTACTTTGGTGTGCAGAGAAACACGCGCGCGAGTGCGTGTGTACGTACACACACACACACACACACACACACGCACACAACCTCCTTCCAGCGCCACCTCTCCCTTTCTCAAGCAGCCCTCTTCAGTACTGCATTGCCGGCCACTGCCAAGTGCGCCAGGTGTCCAGGACGTCCAGTCGCCACTTTACGTTGCTCTCCCTTTTCCCAGGCCCTACCTACCGCACCGCAGCCCTCCCAATGCCCCTTGTGCCGATCCCCCTGAACCCGCAGTTCCAGTTTCTCCTCTAAACGCGTCATCCCCAGCCCCGGGAAGCCCTCCTCCTGCTCCCCGCTCCTCCACTCCGCTCCCCCCGCTCCGCGTCGCCCGATCCGTTCCCTCCCCCAGAACGCGTCACGCCATCTCTCCTCCCACCCAATCTGTCGTCGCCATCGCATCCATAGCCCCGTCTCCAGTAAACAGCTCTCCTGCGCACCAAGTTCAACACCTACGTCCCTCCTTCTCCCCTGCCCTTGTTTCCCTCCTAAATTTTTGGCCCTGACGCCATTCCTTCCTTTGTGCCCCGAAGACGCTTTTATGCCCATCTCTCTAAATCCGGAGCCCCCGTTCGTCCTCTACCCTAAATGTGCTCCTCGCCTTCTAGATATTTCGCCTCGGCCCCCAATCGTCCTCCCTACGCACTCGCCCAAACTTCGCCCCCTCCCCCAATCCTGTCGCCTGCTCTCTGCGCATCCGCTGCCCTCCCCGCCCTTCGCCCCCCGTCCCAGCGCCCCCTCCCCTGCGCATCCCAAACCCATTTCCTTCCTCTCCCAAATCTGTCGCGCAGACCCCTGCGGCCCCTTCCTACACCCGGGCCGGACCCCCGCATTCCCAGGCCCTCCTTCGCCTGCCCCTTCTATCACCCCTTTGGCCCCCGATATCCACGGCCCCCAGCTCTCTCCCTCAGACCCATCGCCGTCGCCTCCCCCGCTCCAACCCTCCTCCGGCCCCGGCCTGTCACCTGGATGAGCAGCTTCACGTAGAGCAGCGGGTGGCTGAGCGCTGTCACGCCCGCGCCCAGCGCCACGAACAAGGCCTCGGTGGTCGGGGCGCTGTCCCCCGAGCCCAGGCCCCCGGGCGCGCCGTCCATCCTGCGGGCCGAGGGCTGCGCCGCAGGCCGGGGGTGGCGTGGGTGTGCACGGTGCGCGGGCGGCGGATCGCGAGCCCGGGCCTCGCCCCCCGCCGCCGCTCCGCCGCGAGCTCCCGCTCCTGCTCCGGCTCCCGCCATCCCCGCGGCACCGCCGCGAGCCCAGGGCGCCACTTCCGGGTCTGAAGCCCCCATGGCACGGGGCGCGAGGTCACGCCCCGTCACGTGCAGGAGGCCACGCCCCCGTGCGTCAGGGGGCGGGCGGGCAGCTCGGCTCCGGGCCCCGGGGGAGCTCGGGAGCGAAGCGCTGCGCACCGGAAGTCCGGAAGTGGCCCTCTGACGGAGTCGCCAGCGGGTTCTGTGCTGCCTGAGGGCTGCGGGCTGCGGGCTGCGCAGTGCAGGGCAGACGTCAGGGCCGCGGGCAGCTGGGGCTGCATACTTTTCTTTTTTTTTTTTTTTTTTGGTGTTTTTGAAACAGGGTCTCGCTGTGCAATTCACGCTGGCCTTGAGTTCACTTTGTAGTCCAGGCTGGTCTTGAACTTGCAATGATCTTCCTGCCTCAGCCTCCCGAGTGCTGATACTTTTAAACCTCTCTCCGTGGCTGCTGGAGTTTGCTCTGCAGTTCTGGGCCCACCCCTTTGTAGCCCAGATCCCGGTCACCGCCACCTACGGGGGTCTGTGTTTGAGCCAGACCACCTGGTGCAGGCCCAGCGACCCTACCACATCCACCCTGCGCCCCAGCTGTGAGCCTTCCGCTCCTCCCCTAGGGGCATTCTTCTTGCCCAGAGAGTCGGAGCTTCTCCCTCACTAGAGAATGCTGAACCCAAAAAGCGTGACGTCGCCAGGCAGGGTAGCGCAGCGCTTGCTGGTAATCGAAGGAGGATTACCGCGAGTTTGAGCTCAACCTGGGCTACATAGTGAATTCAAACCCCCACCCCCCGAACTGCATGGCAAGACCCTGTCTCAAAAAAAAAAGTCAGTTCAGGGAGTTAGACCTGTAGGGTATCAAGCAGAGGCAACTGTCACGCCACAGTACAGTTAGATTTCTACAATCTGGGCTCGGAGACAACAAGAGGAAGCACAAAAAACATTATTCTCAAAATAAAAGAATTACAGGGGCTGGGGATTTAGCTCAGCGGCAAAGCACCTGCCTGGCAAGCGCAAGGTCGTGAGTTCGGTTCCCGGTACCGGAGAAAAAAAAAAAAAAAAAAAAGAATTACATAAGCCACTCAAAGGTACAGTTGGTCCTGAGGGTGCACGGGCGAGCAGGAGGATTAATACTCCTGGGAATGTAGTGGAGCAATCCGAAAAAAAGGCAGAAGATTTACAAATGAGCTTCCTGCAGGCTGTGCAGACTGCAGGTAGACCATCGCAGGTCCCCACGCTCTGTGCAATGAAAAGAGAATAGAAAGTAGTCCCCACAGCTGCAACTAGGTGGCATCACACCAACCAGCTCTGGGGGGACCCGGCCAGGAGCTCAAGGTCAGCAAGGGCAGGCCTCAGCTGGGCAGGGACCCTGGGGTGGGCACGCAGCCCTGCTGTAAGATGGGGCCCCAGCTACTAGTTCCCTCTGTTCACGTGGTTACCGTGGGTGGGAGGACTGGGCCGATTTTCTGCAGTCTGCATTTCACAGCTTCCGGCTTCTTGGCAGCTGTTGTAACCCCGAAGCCAGAGGACAGCCCCTCAGAGTGGGGACAGTGCAGCTCAGTAAGCCACTGGCCAAGTCAAGGTTTTTTTTGTAATAACAGCAGAGTGAATCCAGAGCTATATCACCAGCCCTTTCTTATTTTTGAGACAAGGTTTTGCTAAATTGCTCAGGTGTTATAGTCAGGGGTTTACAAGGGGAACACGCTTTTAATACGGGGCACAAAATTTGTAAGATTATAACAGTCACCCAAAGAGTCAAATACAAAGACAGTGCAGGAGATCTGTCCACACACTGAAGACCCAAAGGAATCCAGCCGAGGGCCTGGATCCCATGGCAATGTCCTGTCTGAGTCCAGCTGAAGACCTACAGCCCATAGCAATGCCTCCCACGAGTCCAGCTGGAGGCCAAGAGGCCAGGACAATGCCTCATGCAGGCCTGTCTCACAGATCTGTGCTGGGAAGGCCCCAAGGTCAGTGGTGGAAGCTAGAAAGTCTGTGCCAGCGGGATGAAGGATCTGTGCTAGCAGGCTGAGGGGTCTGCGCTGGAGCCAGGAAGCGACACTTAAAGTAAGAACCAGAGCTCCCCAGAAAAGTACCACAGCCATCCTCAGCAACAGTGAGGTCCCGAGCTCCTCCGATGACAACAGCTGAGTTTCTATCAAGAAAGCCAGTGCGACAAGCTTCTCCAGGAGTCTGAGCAGTGCAACATCTTCCCCCTCTGGAGTCAGGAAGCGATGCTCAGAGTGAGGACCAGAGCTCCCCCCAAGTGAACCGCAGCCATCCTGAGTGACAGTAAGGTCCTGAGCTCCTTCGGTGATGAGAACAGCCAAGTTCATCAGGAAAACCAGCATGACAAGCTTCTCCAACAGAACCAACAGCTCCGGGAGAAAACAACAGCTCACAACAGCTTCTAAACTTCTTCCTCTCCAGTTCTGCCTCTTATGCTGCCTGCAACAACCCTCAGGTGGGCCTCCCACACCCGGCACCAGGCTGGTGCAGTTCAGCTGGATGTTACAAGTTGACCACCGGTTGTCAATCCACCACACCAGGCTAGGCTTGAACTTGCAATCCTTCTGCCTCAGCCTACCAGGGTGCTGAGATCCCAGGCTTGCACCACCATGCCCAGCTGCATTGGGGTTTTTCAGTGAAAATATGGGTTATTTTCTTAAAATCTGACTTTCTCCTAGGGAGAACCAAAATAAAATCCGGCATCATGGAGCCTGCATTCCCTCTTGACAACAATAGGTCAGAACAGGGCAAAAGCTGGCTGTGAGGAGGGCACAGACTATCCACCCACAGGACCCATGCCTGACCACGCAACTCCTGCAGCCAGTTTTGTTACCTGTGTGGTTCAAGTCGACACCTGAGTTTGTAAATCTCAGTTTAGACGGTGCCATCTCTGGGAATTAGTTTGGGGCGTGCATGGATGTGTGTGTGTGTGTGTGTATGGTTAACTTCTGGGCCAGCTCACATCGGACTATACACACTGCAGTTCCTTCAGTCAGAGGCACCACACTTGGCATGGCGGGGTACCTGTGCCCACCGGGTGCTTGGTGGGACTTGGGACCTCAAGGGTCTCCACCGCCTAGCCAGGGCCTTGCCTGTGCTCTGACATCCCAACCCCAGTGGAACATTGGGGTCCCCAGAACCAGGTGCTGGGGGTGCCACTCAGAGATAGGGTGCTGCCTGCCACGTGTGGGGCCCCAGCTGTGCTCCCCCACACTGCAGAACTGGGTGTCACAGAGCACAGGAGGTGACGCTTGCAGAGAGGGGCGTATCAGTCCCATTGGAGCACTGAGCTTGGGAGGACCGAGGACAGAATGGGCAGAGCACTTGTGAGTCCTGCGTGGCCGGTCCCAGCCGGGGACAGGGCCCAGAGCTGGGGCTGGGGAGCCCAAAAGCCTGATTCCTGGGGGGAAGATAACCGTCACCTCCCCTGACCCCTTCCAGCGGTTCTGTGCCTCCTTGAGGGACACAGAGAGGAGCCAGGTCCTGCCCCCTCAGGGTCCCGTGACGCCCGGGGAGACCTGGAGGAGCTGGTGGGGCGTGGGGCTGGAGCTGCAGCTCTGTGAGTGCCGAGCATGGGGCCAGTGTCGCGGCCACAGCCCAGTGCCCAGTAAGGGCTTTGGTGGCCCTGCACGCTGGCTGCTGTACCAGCTCTCCCTGGGGAGGACACAGGGACAGTGACACGTCAAAGGTAGGAGAATCCGGCACAGTGCTGGAGGCAGCCAGGAGGTGGCCCAGGTGGGAGCGGGTGCAGGAGAAAGGTGGCCAGGGGCAGGACGGGGCCACACAGGGTCAACTGGTCCCCTCTCACCCTGGGGACCTCAGGTTTCACCCAGCTTCCGTGCAGGGCCGGCGGGGCTCTGGCGAGGCCGCAGGGTAGAGAGAAAGGAGCCCGGGAGGCTGAGGACTCGGGCACCTCTCAGGCTGGCCTGGCACTGCCCCGGCTCCGTCTCACCCGCCCAGCTCCGCTGGCGCCTGCCTGCCCAGCCTTCTCCTGCCCCAGAAACTCGATGCCTCCCCGGGCGTCTCCAGGCTCCCGGGTGTGGAGCCTGTGACCGACATCGGCTCCGGGAGCCCAGCCCTGCATCCGTCTCATCCCCGGCCACCTCCTTCTCCCCGCATATCTGACCCCAGTGACCTTTCATCCCTGATGAATAGTGGGATGGTACCAGGGCCTGGTGCGAGCCTGGCTGTCCCAGAGAATGCCAACCTTGAAACCAGACCGTTCCCACGCCAGGGAGAAAAAGCTGTTCGCATCTCCAGCCACCCACATCAGGAGGGACTCGAGCTCACACCTGGGCATGTGCTGCCTTTGGGACTTAGAGTAGACCTGGCCATGGTGGGGTCCAGCGAGGGTCTCCACGGTGTCCTGTACCCCCAGCCCCAGCTAAGCCAGCTCTGACTGGTGACATCCCTCTGAATGACAAAAAATGTAGGACTGTGCAGTGCCCAAAGGGCCAGGGACCACAATGGCAGAGGCATAGGGAAGTTCCTGGGAAAGGTGAGACCAGCTTGGAGGTGGCCAGGCTCAGGCTCCCTGGAAAATCTTTTTCTTTCTTTCTTTCTCTTTTCTTTCTTTCTTCCTTTCTTTCTTTCTTTCTTTCTTTCTTTCTTTCTTTCTTTCTTTCTTTCTTTCTTTCTTTCTTTCTTTCTTTCTTTCTCTTTCCTTCCTTCCTTCCTTCCTTTCTTTCTTTTTTTGAAACAGGGTCTCTAGATGTAGCGCAGGTTGGCTTGAAACTCCAGACAAGCCTCCTGTCTCAGCCTCCCAAGTGCTAGGATTACAGGTGCACATCACCACACCCGCCAGTGGTGGAATATCTGGCAGAGAGGAGCATAGGACATTCTGTAGGAAGACTGGGCTCCCAGAGAGATCTGCTGCCTCCCAGTCGGGCACTGGCTGCCATGGGGCTTCTGTCTACCATGTGCCACACACACACACACACACACACACACACACACACACGCGCGCGCCCTCAACACCTCCTGGGATGAGGCAGCAAGGGCAGGAGAAGGGGCGAGGCGGCATCCCTGGAGTGCAGGGCTGCCACAGCCCCAGGAGCAGGTCTCAGCTAGCTGTCTGAATCTTCCCAGGAGCCGTGTCACCTTGTCATCCTGTCACTCTCCTCACGGGCCTGTCTGTCGCAGACCATGAAACCCCAGCAGGTGCTGTTGGAGGTAGAGGCCATAAGCTGGGGCGGCCCAGACCTCCCCTATGGCAGCTCAGGGCGCTGGCAGCTAAGAGATGAGGCGCCCTCTGGGTCTCAGGGTGCGGGCTCCTGAGCCCCTACGTGCGCACCACCGCCCCCAGGCCCGTGGGAAGCGGAGGAAGAGCCAGGAGGGCCCCCAGCCAGGGAGCATGCGCAGGAATCGGTAACCCGGGCTCCGGATCTGACCGCATTGCGGGAAACCCAGGGGACGGCGCTGTGCCGGGCTGCGTCCTGACCATTGTGTGTTAGACAAAGAAGCCCCGAGCCCGGGGCAGCGCTGCAGTGCACGCGCCTGGTTTGGATCCTGACTTTGTTTTAATATCGGATCTGTTCTCATCATCAAGCGATTTGAGAGGAATTGGCATTCTGTTTTCTGAGTATTCAATTACATTGAGGAGTTATTGCTGAATATCTTTTGGGCTATGACAATAGTAATACTATTTTTTATGTCTGTGTACATGTACTCAACATGCAAAACACGCATGTATCTGGAAATTATATTATTATAAATGTGTATATACATGTACATGTATGTGTGTGGATATATTCCTACTTACATATTTACTTATGAGTCTCTGTGTGTGTGTGTGTGTGTGTGTGTGTGTGTTATGGGGGACTGAACCCAAGGTCTTTGCACAGAGCGGGTTTTTTTGTTTTGTTTTGTTTTTTGAAACAGTGTCTCACGATGTAGCCCAGGTTGGCCTCGAACTCATGGTGATCCTCCTGCCTCAGCCTCCTGGTTGCTGGGATGACAGATGTGCACCACCACACCAAGCTGGTGTTTTGTTTTTGTTTTTGAGACAGAGTCTCATTAAATCACTAGGTTGCCCACTCTGGACTCAAACTTGAGATCCTCCTGTCTCAGCCTCCCAGAGTGCTGGAATTACAGGTGTGCACCACCATGCTTGGCTGGGTCTTTAGCTTTTAGATACACACTGAAATATTTGGGGATGAAATCATATTGGCTAAATCCCAACATCGGAGATTCTCTTCAGAATGACATAGGAAGGATCAGTAGAGGTGGCCACAGTCTGGATAGGGGACTGGTTCAGGTGACCATCGTTGAGTAAGTGTTAGGGGCTCACAAGGTGCATTATGCTCTTCGTTTTTTTTTTTTTTTTTTTTTTTGTCTTTTGAGGCAGGGTCTCACTATGCAGTTCAGGCTGACCTTGAGCTCACTTTGTAGCCCAGGCCGGTTTTGAACTTGCAATGATCCTCCTGCCTCAGCTTCCCGAGTGCTGGGATTACAGGCATGCGCCACCACGCCTGGCTCTCCTGTCTATTTTTGCATGTTCTGCATTCTTCATGATAAAAATAAAAACAGAACCACGACGTGGAGGCGGGGTGGGGTGGCATGGGGGCCCCATGGGGAACCGCTGGGGCAAGGCACCGCAGCGTGACGCCGTGCTGGGCTATCTGGGTACCAAGATGCCTCAGGCTCGGTTCCCTCAGGGGGGCCTTGGCTCAGCCACCAGAGAGCCGCCGCAGTAGTGGGCAATCCCTGCTCGGCCCGGGGACAGAGGTGGTGGCCATTGGATCTGGGAGGGCTGGACACGAGGTGGCTCAGGAGGCACCAGGCAGGGGAAGCCACAGCACGAGGTAGCCAGAAAGCAGCCTCCCGGTGAATCCCTGCTGGAATCTAGGGCGCTCACCTTCGCTTTGCAAATCAGGGTTCTTTTGTGTTCTTCCTGGGTGACCTCGGGAAGCTACTTAACCTCTCTGATCCTGTTTACTCTGCGGACACTGGGCTCCCCTCTGGAGAGTTGTAGGCTTGGAGGCAAAGACACCCGCCGAGCACTCAGCGGGTGTCTTCACTATTCTGAACACCAGGTTCAGGGAGGAAGCTGCCCTCCCTCGGCCAGTGACATGAAGACAGCAGCCACGAACAGGAGAGCACCCTGCTTCTTTAATTAAAAGATAAAAAGCTGTTTCTCTACAGCAGCGAGCAGGCGCAGATGCATAACAGTTGCTGAGCCACGCATGGTGGCGCACGCTTGTAATCCCAGCATTGGGGAGGCTGAGGCAGGAGGATCGTTGCGAGTTCGAGGCCAGCCTGGGTTACAAAGTGGGCTCAAGGCCAGCCTGAACTGCACAGCGAGACCCTGTCTCAAAAAGACCAAAAAAAAAAAAAGTTGCTGAGCAAGGGACAAAGACGAAGCTCCCGGACCTCGTGAGGGGGAAAGCGTGCTTGGCCACTCAGGCCAACGGGTCAGCTGCAGGCTCAGCTCCAGAACCTCTGCCGTCCCTCACAGGTGGCTCTGGAACTGGAGGTTGGAAGAGGTGAAAGGCCAGCAGGTGGGGCCACCCAGGCCCCACCCACTGCGGGGACAGTGCGCCTTTCCCTTGTGGGCCAAGGCTAAGGGACCACTTCCTCTTTCTTCTCTCGAGCCCGGAGCCAGGCCTGCTGGGCCCTCAGCAAGGACGCAAGCAGACTCCAGGATGTCCTAGGCCATCTGGGTCCTGCAGCCAGGGTGGCCGCGGGTCTGCACTCAAGAGCTCTCTCCCTCTCTGGGGACAGCAGGGTCTGGAGGCCTTTGGGATGGAATCCACGGATGGGGAGAAGCTGCCCTCTGTGTCTAGCCTGGTGACCGTGTTCGAGGACAGCAGGTACAGGCCCGGGGCGGGAAGGCTCGCTCGGCGGGGACGTGGGGGCCGAGGAGCAGGCGGCTGTGCCCTCGCTGGCTCCTGCCCTGGGCGCCTCCTCCCATCTGAGGTACCCTGAGTACTGCTGGGCTCGGAGCCAGCGGGTTGCGGGTGCAGCGGGTCTGGGGAGACGCTGGATGCGTGTGGGGCGCAAGTGAGCGGCTGGACCCAAGGCTGCGTATGCCGAGGGCCCCACTGCCGCCCCGCCGGGAGTGAAACCGGTGCTTCCGTTCATCACGTCCCCCTGAGGAGGGCGAGCCTGGAATTCCTCACTCAAACCAGGCCACAGCTGACACCGAAAGCAGACGCCGTGGGCATTGGGGCGGGCAGCAAGGCCCCAGCCACGCCGGTTCTGTGTCAGGCGGCGGGACGGCCGGCGGCCGGCGCGCGGGCCGCTGCCCGAGTTCACGCCTGCATCTGTCTGACCATGTAGCAGCCCCACGGGGCTGCCCCGTGTCCAGGCCCACCCTTTGGGCGAGGAAACTGAGGCAGAGAGGAGACGGTGCCCATGCTTTGAGACAAAGCTGAGATTCGTGTCAGGAGCGACAAGGCCGGGTGCGTGGAGGTCACCGGGGGCCCTGGCAGTGTGGCCGTGTGTGTGTGACAGCCACTGAGCAGCCGCTCAAGCCCAGGACTGGGTCAGGGGCTCCGGAAGCGCACTCCGGGGTGCAGACCGCCATTGTCACTCAGCCGCCCGTGCCGCCAGGGGCTGGGGAGGGGCGAAGCTTCTGTCACGGGCAACAGATCCTGGGAGGGGCCTCGAAGCTGCGCTGAGCCGCGCTGAGCACCGGAAGCCTCCTGTGGGGTCCGAGGGGCGCGGCAAGGACCCCGGGAAGGGCGGCTCATCTTCCCAGAACCGGGGGTCTTCGCGGCCAGTCGTCCCGTTCAGCACCAAGGACAGCGCCCGGCGCGGCCATCCCGGCCGCCCACCCAAAGGGAGAGAGTCCATGCCCGAGGACGTGGGCGCCGGGCCTGCCCGTGATGCCCCAGCGCCTGCGCTGATCTGAAACCAGGGCAGAAGCAGAAGCTGGCCCGGTGCTTGAGGGAGACGCAGCGGCCGAAGCCAAATGTAGAACAGAAAGCCGGGGCCTCAGCTTCCCCGTGAGGTGCAGCCCTGGCGCTGCGGAAGCGGGCTCCGGGGTGCTGGGCGGGGCGACAGAGCCCGGGGAAGCGGCCTGGGGCGCCCCAGGGACGGGCACGCGGCTTGGGGAAGTCACTGTGACTCTCGGGACCGCTTCTCCTTCACACGAGCCAGGGGGCGGTTTCACGGCAGGGCTCCGGGACCGCCCACCTGGTCCAATTCCCACCTGTACTGTATCCAGGCTGCAGGTGTCTCACCCCACCTGTGCCTCAGTTTCCGCACTGCAGAATGGGCACAAGGCGAAACTTTCCCTCGGAGTATGGGGCCCTGGACTGGGCTGGGCTGTGTCCCCTGAGGCGGATATGAAGGGCAAAGGTCCCCCTGCAAGACCCTAGCGTTAGCAGCTCTTTAGACTATTCCATGGCCTCCACGTCCCTTGATATACCCATCGCTGATGCAGAAACAAAATCAGAGGTGCGGTCCAAAGAAGGGAGAGATACAGAGGGAGCCACAGCAAAACCCTGTCTGTCCATCCTGTTACGTTGATCCGTGCACATCCATGTTTATGGCAGCACAGTTCAGGATAGCTAAATCTTAGAACTGGCCTGTATGTCCAACAAAGATGGAGGTGGGTGTGCTAACACGCGCCTGTAATCCTAGCACTCAGGAGGCTGAGGCAGGAGGATCGCTGTGAGTTTGAGGCCAGCCTGGATTTTATGTATATATTTTGTCTTTTTGAGACAGAATTTCGCTATGCAGTTCAGGCTGGCCTTGAGCTCACTTTGTAGCCCAGTTTGCCCTCAAACTCACAGTGATCTTCCTGCCTCAGCCTCCCGAGTGCTGGGGTTACAGGCGTGTGCCACTATGCCCAACAAGGCTGCACTTTAAACAGGGAAGTATGCAGTTCCCTTGAGACACGGGCACTGACTCACTTGGAGACTGACGTTCCTCCACGAGGGGTGCTGGGAGGGAGAACCGGGTCCTCCTTGGCAAGTTCTTATAGTGTGCTGGGTGCCCAGGGGCTGCCACCCCCCTGAGGTTCACACCATCACCTCCCCACGGTTCACACCATCACCCCAGCTCCCCACCCAGGCTCTGCTCCTGTGCCTCCTGCTCCTCACCAAGGAGCCCTCAGACCTGCTCTGTTCTCAGGACCCCAGGAGCGGCACCCAGAGTCCGCGGCCCAGGGGACACACAGCATCCACAGGGGCTCAGGCCACCCCTGTCCCCAGGGCCCTGGGAGATGCCCCCCGCAGAGCAGGCCCCGATTTCTCGGCCCAGGACCGTGAGCAGGAGCTACCTGAACTCCCTGAAGGACAAGCTGTCCAGCGGGGCCTGGAGGAGGTCTTGCCAGCCAGGGACCCAGCCTGAGTCGGGGCCGCAGGTACGCGTCCTGTGTGAGCAGAGCTCAGCTGAGAGCTGGACCGGGCCCCTCTAACAGCCCGAGTCTCTGTCTTCTCCCCCTACCTGCCACACTCTTCCCTGGGTCCCTCACTGTGGGAGTTTTTAGACAAGAAATGGGCATTTGAAGACCTGGGTATGAGGGGCTAGGGATTTAGCTCAGTGGCACAGCGCTTGCCTGGCAAGTGCAAGGTCGTGAGTTCGATTCCCGGTACTGGAAGAAAAACAAAACAAATAAAGACCTGGGTATGGTGGCACACACCTCTCTTCCCAGCACTTGGGAGGCTGAGGCAGGATGATCTCTGAGAGTTCAAGGCCAGCCTGGACTACATAGCGAGACCTTGTCTCAAACAACAACAGCAAAAAACCTTGTTCAAGGCCACCAAGGTCGGAATAGTCTGGTTTCTGCTTCTGCCTTATTGGCGGCCAACTTCCCACTGCGCCCTTGTGGACCTCCCTCTATGAATGTGTCCCTGGTCTCTTCCCCTTCTGAGGACAAAATCCTACAGGCTTAAGGTCCACTCTTGTGAGCCCATTTCACCTTAATGACCCCCCCCAGGTACCCCGTTTCTAAGTACAGTTACATTGGAGCTAGGGCTACAGCAAATGCAGGGGCTCCCAATGCGGGCCACTGCAAGGTCACTGTGATGGGGCCACAGCCAGCCGGCGGCCAGGGCTGGAACCCCAGGGCGGCTCAGCTCTCCTGCCTGGGACCTGGGCGGGGAGGCGGGAGGCCCCTGAGGTTCCCCAGCAGGGCCCGAGGGGGCTCCCTGCCCCCAAGCAAGGACAGGTGGCAGCCACTGCCTCTCCAGCTGAGCCCCGGGCAGGAATCCGAGGGCCCCTCTTCCCCGCAGGAGCCAGAGGAGAAGAGGATCGTCCGCGAGCTGCTGGAGACGGAGCAGGCCTACGTGGGCCGCCTGCACCTGCTGGACCAGGCGGGTGCCCGGGAGCCCGGCTCCCGCCAAGCTCTGCCCACCTCCCCGGAGCCGAGTCAGGATCCTGGGTTTGAGCCCAGAGTCTCAGGGTGGGGCAGAATCAGGATCCCAGCCCCCTCCCCCAGGTTCTGGGAGAGCCTCACACACAGCAGAGGGCGCTCCAGCTCACCCTGTACACCTCCCTCTGTCCTGGACCCCTGCACCCTTGGCTAGAGGGCCACCTCCTTGGCAAGGGGGGCAGGGCGGAGCACCCTTCACCGGGCTGCGTGGCCTCCCCAGCGGGCAGCGAATGACCCTGCTGGCGGGCGCAGGTGTTTTTCCAGGAGCTGCTGAGGGAGGCCCGCAGCAGCAAGGCCTTCCCGGAGGACGTGGTCAGGCTCATCTTCTCCAACATCTCCTCCATCTACCAGTTCCACGCCCAGTTCTTCCTCCCGGAGCTGCAGCGTCGCCTAGAGGACTGGTGAGGCTGTGGCAGCACTGGCCAGGCGGCGGGGACAAACCTGGGGCACTGGGCTCCCTGCTGGGGTGGCCACCATGGGCTCTGCCTCTGGATGTGTGGTCCTTTGCACAGCAAGGGGCTTACATGGACAAACCCTGACTGTGACCCAGGCCTGTCATCTGAGCACTCTGGGAGGCTGAAGCAGGAGGGTCCGAACTTTGAGGCTACCCTTGGCAACTTAGTGAGACCCTGTCTCAGAATAAAATTTCAAAGGAGCTGGCAGGGTGTCTGAGAGGTGTTGTTCAGTGGCAGAGCACTTGCTTAGTGTGTGTGAGGCCCTGGGTTCTGTTCTAAGCACTGGAAAATAACAACAGCGCTAGTGAAATTTGCATTGCTCACCAAAGGCTGCTGGGCCTTCAATCAGCACTGTGGGATGAGGCCTCTCGTTGACACGGGAAACCTGTTTTCAGAGGTGGCCGTGGGACAGTCAGTGGTTAATTTACCTGCTTTATATATTTTGCAAGAACACCTGAGGCATCGTTGAAACAGCTACCTGGGGGGTCGACTGCTATGTTCTTTCCATTTGTCATTGCTTAGATCTTCTTATAATAAACTGTTTTAAAAAGAGGGAAAAACACCCCCATGAGATCATCTTCCATCACCTATTTTGTCTTTTTTTTTTTTTTTTTTTTTTTTTTTTTGAGACAAGGTCTTGCTACACGGCTCAGGCTGACCTTGAGCTCACATTGTAGCCCAGGCTGGTTTTGATCTTGAAATGATCCTCCTGCCTCAGCCTCTCGAGTGCTGGGATTACAAGCATGTGCTACCACACCTGGCTCCATCACCTATTTTGACAGGATAGGAGAGTAGGGCACAATCAGACGAAGGGGCTTGCTGAAGGTCACACAGCTATAGTCACCGGTGTGGCTGGGAACGCAGCTTAGGCAGGTCAGCTCTGGGCTGCTTTGTTTCCAGACAGCGTCTAGCTTTGTAGTAGCTCAGGCTGGCCTTGAACTCACTTTGCAGCCCAGGCTGGCCTTGAACTAGCAGCAGTCCTCCTGCCTCAGCCTCCCAAGTGCTGGGATTACAAGTCTGTGACACCACACCTGGTCACCAAGGCTGCTTCCTGCTGGGCTGGGCTGGGCTGGGAGGGGCTCCTAGTCACGGAGGTGGGGATGACGCCCCTCACCCACCTGCTTGGGGATGCAGGGAGCCCAGCCGGCCCCAGCCCGACCTGGGGTCAGAGAGATCACACGCTGAGCCACCCGCTGCCCCGGTCGCGCAGGACGGCCACGCCCCGCATCGGGGACGTGATCCAGAAACTGGCCCCGTTCCTGAAGATGTACGGCGAGTACGTGAAGAACTTCGATCGCGCCGCTGAGCTGCTGGCCGCCTGGGCCGAGAAGTCGCCTCCCTTCCAGGAGGTCATCGCCCGCATCCAGGTGAGGGCGGGAGGCGCGGGTCGGGCCCTGCCCTCGACGGGGCGCCCCAAGCCCCAACCGCCCTGCCCTTGCGTCTCCGCGCTTCGCGCCCCTAGAGCAGCGAAGCCTCGGGCAGCCTGACGCTGCAGCACCACCTGCTGGAGCCGGTGCAGCGCATCCCGCGCTACGAGCTGCTGCTCCGGGAGTACGTGCGCAAGCTGCCGCCCGCGGCCGCCGACAGGCCCGACGCGCGCGGTGAGGACGGGCGCAGAGCGAGGCGGTGGGGCAGTCCGCTGAGGCAGGAGAGTCTCTCCGCGGACAGGACGCACAGGGCGCGAAGCGGGGCTGGCGGCCGCGTCCTGCCAGGAGCAGAAGGGCCCCACTGCACTGGGCGCCGCGACCCCCACCTTCATGCTGTGCGCGCTCGGGGTGTCCTGCGCGAGGCCCAGCAGGAACAGCGGGAGCAGGCCGAGTCCGGCGGCGCGGAGCAGCGGGCGCATGGCTGGGCTGGGCTGGGGCCGGCGGCGGCGCTGCCCTTAAGAGCCGGGCAGGCTGGAGCAGAGTCCTCTC